CTTTCATAACTTAAAAGAAACTCAAAGCCAGGAATAGAATGGAACTTCCTCATAAAAAGCATTTATGACAAACCCACAGCTGACATCATTCTCAAAGGTAAAAGGTCAAAAGTTTTTCCTCGAAAATGAAGAAAAAATAAGCATGTTCTTTTTTTCCTACTGAAACTCAACATTGTGTGGAAATTCTTGCTAGAGCAGTTGGCCAAGAAGAACAACCAAAAAACATACAAGCTGGAAAGAAAGAAGTCAAGATAACTCCTCCACAGAATAAATACGTCACCCCAAATATATAAAATCTCAGAATTCACAAAAAATTACTTACACTAACAAATAGATTCAGCAAAATTGCAGGATATAAGATTAATATATTAAAACCAGTGGTGTTTCTATATACCAGACACAAACAATCTGAAAAGAAAATTTAAAAGTAATTCCATAACTGTAGCATCCAAAACATAAAGTTTCTAGGGATAAATTTAACCAAGGAGATAGGAGGTTGGTACAGTGCAAAGTATAAAATATTACTGAAGGAAATTAAAGAAATGGAAGAAATCCATATTCATGAGTTGCAATATTTAATATTGTTATCATGGCAGTATTACTCAAAGTGATCTATGCAGTCAATGTGACATCTATCAAAATTCCAATGACCTGTTCTTGAGACATAGAAAATCTTACTTTTTTTTTGTCTTTTTAATTTTTATCGGTACTGGGGATCGAACTCACCTACTTGCAAGGCAGGTGCTTATGTTGCTGAGCTAAATCCCCAGCCCCTAGAAAATTTTATTTTGAAATTTGTACAAAATTTCAGGACATTTCAAATAGTCCAAGCAATATGGAAAAACCAATTTGATGATCTCACATAACCCAATTTCAATACTACAACTCTAATAATCAAAGTAATGTGGTACTAACTAACCATAAGCATGTAGACCAATAAAATAGAATGAGAGTCTAATAAAAAACTCATACATCTATGATTAATTAATATCCAGCAAAGATACTGTTATGGTTTGTGACTGGATGTCACCCCAAAGCCTCATACAATCACGGGGGCAGGCTTCCAGAATTTGTGATTGATTCACGGTCAATGCTGGGATTATGTGTGTGAGCGCTGCACCCACCCTAGAGTGCATGCCTATAAAATACAGAGGAGAGGAAGGGTCTTCTCTCCACACTCCTCCCCTTCCGCTCTTGCTTTTCTATCTTAACATCACCAAAACCTGTTGCTCCTCTGTTAGCCACCCTGCCTTGGAGTCAGCTAATTACGGACTGAAACCTCCACAAACTGTGAGCTAAATAAACCTTTCTCTTCTTCATTTTGGACATCAAGTATTTTGTTTCAGCAATGAGAGAAATGTAACCAAGGCAGATACCAAAGTTATTCAATGAGGAAAAGAACAGTCTGTTCAACAAATGCTGCTGGGAACAATGGACAGCTACAGAGAAATGCGGCAGGACAGCTGTCTCATGCTGCATAAAAAATTAACACAATGTATTAACAACTTGGACAGAAGTTAAAGCCACAAAACTCTTAGAAGAAAAGATGGATAAACCTTTATGACTCTGAATTGGGCAGAGGATTCCCAGATATGGAACAAAAAAGTAACAAAATAAAAAAGAAGATCCCCATAAAATTAAAAACTTTCGTATATCAAAGAATATTATCAAGAGAGCCTGCCTACATGAACCCAGCTACTTGGCAGGCTGAGGGAAGAGGATCACAAGTTAGAGCCCAGCCTGGGGAACTTAGTGACTTAGCAAGACCCTGCCTCAGAGTGAAAAATAGGCCGAGTTGGGGCTGTAGCTCAGTGTGAGACCCCGGGTTCATCCCCTAGTGCCAAAAGGAAAAAGTTAAAAATAAAAGAAGGAAAAAAAGAAAGGAAGAAGGAAAGAAGAGAGGGAGGGAGAGGGGGAAGGAAGAGAAAAGACAACCTGTAATAAAATAAAATATTTGTAAATTACAAGTCAACAAAAGACAATTAGATTTAATAATAGACAAAGACCCTGAATATTTCTCAGAAAAAAAGATATGCAAATGGCCAACTAGCATACTGAAAGATGCTTACCCTTCTCAGTCACTAAGGAAAATGCAAATCAAAACCACAAGAAAATAATACTTCCCAGACACTGAGATGGCTGTAATAAAAAACAGAAAAAATACAAAGTATCATTTCCTCAAAAAGTTAAACATACAATGACCCAGCAGTTCCATCTAAAGTGCAGTATATGCCCCCAGGGAAACAGGTGTTCAAATACACATATGTGCACTCTTTATGATAACTAAAAAGGTGTAAACCGCTCAGGTGCCTGCTGGCAGGTGAACTGTATACACACGCAGTGGAATATTATTCGGCCCAATGAAAAGTGAAGTGCAGAATGGACACATGTGGCAACGGGGACAAACCTTCTTGAAAAGACCTGATACAAAAAGCCATATACTATATGAATACATTTGTATGAAATATCCAACCTGGTAAACCATAGAGACAGAATACAGACTGACCCGGTGATAGGGTGGATAAAAGTCACTACTAAATGGATGTTGGAGTCTCTGTCGTGCCTGTGTCTAGATGTCCCCCAAAGCTTCCTGCAGCCATAGTGGGGCTTTTTCAGAGGCAGCTGGACTTGGAGTGGGTGATGCTGGGATTGATTCACAGTGCAGTGCCAGGATCACGGGCACTAGGAATAAGGGTGTGAGTGCCACCTGCCCTGAGTAAGGATGAGATGTAAAGGGCAGACAGAGCGGTGGTCGCCCCTCGTTGCTTCGCTGCCTTCTGCCTGCCATGGACTGTTTCTCCTCTGAGATGCCCGTCACGCGGCCCTGCCTTGGAGCCAGTTGATTATGCACTGAAACCTCTACAAACTGTGAGCTAAATAAATATTTCCTCTCCTAACTTTGGGCATCAAGTATTTTGTTTCAGTAATGAGAAAGGTCACTAAGACAGTCTCCTTTTGGGGTGATAAAAGTTCTGGAGATAGAAATGGTTAGACGCACAACATTGTGAATGTACCAAACGAATGTCACAGAACCGTCTACTTTACATGGCTGTGTTTTGTTTTTGTTTTGGATTGCTTGTTGTTTGCAGTACTGGGATTGAACCCAGGACCTTCACACTAAGCTGCATCTCCACACCTTTGTTTTTTATTTTGAGACCAGGTCTTGCTGAGTTGCCCAAGCTGGTCTTGAACTTTTAATCCTCCTGCCTCAGTCTCCAAGAAAGCTGGAATTACAGGCGTGTTCCACCACGCCAAGCGCAGGGCTCTAATTTTATGCTATATGAACTTCAGACCAATGCGAGAAGAGACGATTTAGCAGGTTAGTTATTAAGCTAAGTTTGAAAGTAAAAGGATAGCAGATGCGAACCAGGAAAATACTAACCCAAAGAAAGAAGATGTACATATTTTAGTATTCCAAGGTGGGAAAAGAGACATCAGGGGAAAATAAATAAATAAAAACACACAAATAAAGTAAGCCATAATACCACAACACAGTGATAAGAGTTTTGCCAGGAAGATATAAAAATTCTAACCTTGAGGGTCAGTATTGCTTCAAAATGTGTAACACAAAATCAGAAAGGATTACAAACAGACAAATGCTCCGAAAGACTGGATTATTTCAACACACTTTTTTGCACTCAGTCATCCACTCATGTACTCAACAGATTTTTTTGAAAGCCTCCTGTGTGTCCAACACCACCCTAAGCAGCATCTCCAGAGGCAAGAATAATCACACTGGCTGCAGAGTAGGTTTTTTTTTAATCGGTACCAGGGATCGAGCTCACAACCACCTGCTTGCAAGGCAGGTGCTTATGCCTCTGAGCTAAATCCCCAGCCTCCTGAGTAGGGTTTTTTGTTGTTTGTTTGTTTGGTCTTTTTAACTCAAGGTTTTGCTGTACTGTTCAGGCTGGCCTTGAACTCACTTTGTAGCCCCGGCTGGCCTCGGACTCACAGTGATCCTCCTGCTCAGCCTCCCGAGTGCTAGGACTGCAGGCGTGAGTCAGCACGCCTGCCCTAACACTGCAGTTTTAGCTCGTCTGTGCCAGGTGTCCTCCATTTATTCCTTCTGGCCCTGCTATCACCCAGTGTTGACACAAATGAGGAGTAGCTTCCTTCTTATCAATCCTAGTATTTCAGCATTCACAGAGTGTCCACTGTAGGTTAAAAAAAAAAAAAAGGTTTTCCTTTATTAGATTAAGAGAGTTTTAAATATTCTTAGTTTGTTTCAAGTTTTTAATCTTTTCTCTTTGAAACAAGGTCTCACTATGTTGCCTAGGCTGGCCTCAAAGTCCTGGGCCAAGCAATCCTCTTGCCTCAGCCTCCCCAGTAGCTGGGATCACAGCACACAGCACCACACCTGGTTTAGATGCACCTCGAATCCCCCACCTCAGCCCCTTACTGGGGATTGAAGTCAGAAACACCGAGCAACATCCCCAGTGTTTTGTTTTGTTCTGTTTGTTTGCTTGTTTGTCTTTTTGAAACAGGGTCTTGCTACGCAGTTCAGACTGACCTTGAGCTCATTTTGTAGCCCAGGCTGGTTTTGCATGTGTAACGATCCTCCTGCCTCAGCTTCCTGAGTGCTGGGATTACAGGTGCGCGCCACCACAGCTGGCTGTCTAGTCCTTTATTTAATTTTATTTTGAGACAGGGGCTGACTAAATTACACAAAATGGCCTTAGAATTATGATCTTCCTGCCTCAGTATTTTAAGCAGCCAAGACTTCAGGCATGAGAACTTTTGCCTGGGTAGAAGTTTTTAAACATGAAGTTTTATCAGAAAGAGATGAATACACGGTTCTCTCTTCTTGTCTGTTAATATGGTAAGTTATATTACTTGATTTTCTAATGCATTTTAAAGCAACTTGACCATACGCTATCTTTTGAGCATATTGTTAGATTCAGTTTACTTTCATTTTGTCTGTGGGAAAAATTACTCAATATTTTTCATTCTTCAAAGAGTTTTTGGTTTGAATATAAAGATTAAGGCAACTTCATGGAGTAATTAGGAGACGGTGATATTTTTCTACTCGCTGGAAGAATTTGTGTTTGACTGAAAGTGTTCATTTGGTAAACGCCCCTGACTTTTCTTTTTAAAGTCTGGTCCTGATGTTTCTTTGCTGTGATGATCTTTGAGCATCAATTTAATTTTTTAAATGGTTAGAAGGTTGTTGGTATTTTTCTGTTTCTCCTGAAGCCAAATGTTGCTGCTTGGAAATGTAAAACGCATGCCTCTGAGTTACACTTTCAGGGTTCTGGACACAAAGCTAGTCACACTCTCCTGAGTGTGCTGTTTTTTTCCCGCTACAATTTATACATCCTGTCGCCCTGCTTTAACCTTGTTAAAAAGCAGAATTTGACCTTAAGTCACCTACTGATGGCTGTTTTCTATTTCACTTATTTCTGCGTTTATCAATAACATGCCCTCCTCCTCATTCTTCGAGTTTACTCAGCCCTTCTCTGCTGATGTCTGTGCCGTGTGTTTGGCTTATTGATTTTCAGCACTTTGAAGCTTCTCATACTTTCTAATACATGGAATTTTAATTATCATTTACTTCTAAGCATATCCTGAAGCACCCACACAGTGCATTCGTTACCCATGTGTTATTTTTAAAGTGTTTAAAAATCTTTTTGTTACTGATTTCCTCTTGAAGTACAGAGTGTCAGAAAACATTTTTTTGTTTAAGCTTTGACTTTACAATTGTTTTGTTAAGAAAAAACTGGCCAGCGTCTGTGAAGATTCCAGGTGTACTTGAAAAGTCTGTGACGGCCACAGTTACTTCGTGCTAGAAAGTCCCACGAAGTGACATCAGAAGTCTTCCTATCAAACAAACATCAGAGCTGACTCAGAAAAAAAGTCAGGAAGTTTACCAAACGTGTTGGGGATAAACGCTTGCAAATGAATATAAATTCTTCAGAGAAAAAGTAATGTAACTTCCACCTTCTCTGCCCTGACTGTGGTTTGTTTCTTTGTTCACTGGCCACTTTGTTCATGTGCATTACTGACCACGGCACGTTAGACACAGGAGGCCAAAGGCCAGCGAAACTCAGAGGACGAAGCCACCCTCTAAAAGCCAGGCGGCAGAACATTCTGCAGCACGGGAGATCTCGGATTCCTATTATGAAAATAGGACTGATATCAATTAAAACAGATTTAGGATTATAAACAGATTGGATCTGGAATCCTGACTTAGACAGATGGACAGGGCATTTTGGGGGCTCATTCATTTGGGGTTGGCTAACACGCAGGACCCTATGTGCCCAGGGCCAAGGGCTTCCTAGTGCCCACCTGTTCCAGATGGCAAAGCGCTGGTCCTGCCACAGGAAGGTTGGCATCATCGTATCCGCCTACCAGGGCTAACATAAGCTCCACTTCCTCTGATAACACACGTAGGCTCCCAACACCCAGAAGCGTATCTGGAAAATAACAAACTCAAAAAAAAACAATTCTGTTTCACGTGGGCCTTAAAGTCAGTGTGGCTGGTTTCGCTGGGCAAACATCTCTGAGGCCAGTGATGACTCAGTGGCCTCTCCCTGGTCCCAAGCCCCCAGGACGGGCCTTTCCTAAAGATTCAGGATCCACTCAGAATGACCGGCACACGTCAGCGAGCAGCTGCTGAGGCCTGGGAATGGGTGTTTGTGAGGTCACGACTCAGTGATCTGACCCAGCCTTAGAGAGCCAGGATGAAGTCAGGGAAGTGGGTCTCCTTCTTTCTTTCCAATCAAGGTCCCAGGGAAGGGCATGAGCTCTGGATAGGAGACCTTGGACAAGGTACCTAATCTGTCTATGCTTCAGTTTGTCTGTCTGCAAAATAGGAAAGTAACAGTACCTACTTCGAGGGTTGTCAGTGGTGAGTGAATTAATAAACGAAGAGCACTTAAACTATGCCTGGAACACAGTAAGCCATCCATAAATATTAGCTATTAATAATATTCCTTCAGACATTTTTGTATCTTAAGAGGCAAAGAAAGCCACGCATGGTGGTACCCACCTGTAATCCCAGCCCTGGGAAGGCCGAGGCAGGAGGATCTCCATAAGTTGGAGGCCAGCCTGGGGTACATAGTGAGTTCAAAGCCAGCCTGGACATTGTGAGACCCTGTCCTAAAATGAAAAAGAAGAAAAAGAAAAACAGTTCTACCGAAGCTCTAATCCTTGCTTCTTATGAGCCTTCTCTTCAGTGCTTTTGTTTTGGTTGGGTTCTGGGGATTGAACTCACGACCTCGTGCTTACTAGACAAACGCTTGAGCTGCTGAGCTAAATCCCTGACTCTCTTTGGTGTTTTACATTAGCGAGCACGGAGGAAAGGGAGGGAAGGAGAACAAAAAGAATTAAGCTATTTAGTATCTGCTCCCCACAATGTAATCAGTGTGTACTACAAACATGTACTAATAAAAACATCTTTTAAAAAAGAGTCCTCCCCCGCTAAGGCGCTTAGATGCTCCTGCAGCTCAAACCACTGTGTCTTCAGCAGGTGCTGGACAGGATGATCACTTCATTCCTGAGTTGGTACCTTCTACCCCGAGAAGATCAGGTTTCAGTAGAAAACGTAAGAGAAGGAGAACTGAAGCACTAATGTTTTTATGGTGAGACAGCTTTCCTATATTACACATTCACATAATGTTTCAGAGAACTCAGTCCATTAGAATAATAGATTAGCTCATGACTCCTACTGTAAGTCCGTAATTGAGTAATTGATCCGGACTTGGGATTTAGTCCTTGATACATGGCACTGGGACGGCTAATCAGAATTCCAGTTCCCCATTATTTATGCGCTGTATATTAGATTTATAAGAATTCCTCGAGTATTTGAGGTTTGTCAGACAATTATGCTTAGGAAATTAAGCAAATATATGTGATGGATCATGCTATATGAAGTGTTTAATGGGGTTTAAGTTTGTAAATGAGATCAAAATGAATCAGACCTTGAAAAATGATTGCTGACATTTCTATACCTATAATTAAAATGAGTCACTTAAGCTGAAATTAAAAACTTAAGGAAAAATTAAAAACCTAAGCAAAGCCCTGGGTGATCTTTCCAGCACACACACAAAAATACCCTTACAGGCAATGCCCACCCCCCAGAAAATTCACCTTAGCCAGGCGTGGTGACACAACAGGTGATCCCAGCCGTCAGGAGGCTGAGGCAAGAGAATCTCTGCAAGTTCAAGGCCAGCCTGAGTTACACAGTGAGTTCAGTGCTGGCCTGGGCTACACAGCAAGACTCTGTCTCAAAAAAGCAACAAACAAACAAACAATTCACTCTAACACACATGTGTGTGCACTAATAAGATAACGGGTCTGGTTTAGGTTAGCCTTGATACCTCCTGTTTCTGCACGTGTGGGGTGAAGAACAGGACAAATTCTCACCAGGGAATTCACCTGGGAACCAGGCGTTTTTCACAGCTCTGCACTCTGGTCATCAACAGGTGACACACAATGCAGAAGACAGAGTGGTCCCTGCTCACATGGGGTCGGGGCTCTGGTGCACACGGTCCCCTTGGAGGATGCTCAGTGTCCCAGTGAGGGGCCCTGGGCTCAAAGCTGTCCTCAGGTCTGAGGCTTCGTGCACCCAGAGCTCAGGGCATGGGCACTGGAATGCAGTTCCCTTGGGCAGAGTCCCCTTGGGAGCTCCTCCAAGTGCAGGCCAGCTCCGGATAGCAGCTTCCAACATGGTGAGGACAGGCCTCCTGAGGAAGCCACCGTCATGGGAAAAACATTAGAGTCGATCATCAAACACCAGGGACGTTCTCTGATGGCCGTAGAGAATCAGTGATGCACAAAGGTAGTGACAAATGCCAGGGCGGTCTCCTGGAGCAGGGCGCTGACCGTACCACAGCAGTTGTGTGCAAACCATCTGCAGAGTCAGGCGACACCTCCTACTGTCCAACCTACTGAAGAAGACGGCTGCAAACACCCTCAAGGAGCGTCTGGGAGGCCCCTTGTATGTGCAGGCTCAGGGCTCAGGCTGCCCAGCTGTGTGTGTGGGGAGGCAGTGCTCACTGTCAGCCTCCTTTAACCCTTAGAGCCGGGCCACAGCCGGGCCACCCAACTTCCTGTTGGTTCTTCTCATTAGTAGGCTTTTGATGCTGTCACGAACCCCAAGATCCCCCCACCAGGCGCCACGAAAGAAGGTAGGCAAGAAAAGATAAGGGAGCGGCCCACAGCACAAGGTCTCCTGCGGTGCCCACTGAGGCCAGGCGGCAGGGGACAGCAGGTGGTCAGCAGCCCAGGGCGGCCATAGCCCTGGTCCTCACACCGGCCTGTGTGAGGGCAAGGCTCCTGTTGGACCCTGTCTGTGGTTGGAACCCAAGGGCGCCCCAGCCCTCCACAGCCCTGCGAAGCCGCATCTGGAGGAACAGCATTCCCCCAAACCACTGAAAAGGAACTGGGGGGAAGAGGTTTCCCAGCAAAACAGGAAGAGCAGGGAGAGGACAAGTTTGTGCAGAGCCTCGAGATGAAAGGGAACAGACGGGGACTTTGTGATTTTTTTTTTTTTTCATCTGTTCACATTGTCTGGCAAGGGAAGGGCGGCTCATGGGCGCAGGGGCTTGGGAGCCAGTGTCTGTGGATGACATCTGTAGTCGCCCGGCCAGGGCTCCCCAAACCGTGGCCTTGTCCCCCTCCGCCACTCCTGCTGGCCTTGCTGGACGCCTCCAGGGTCCACGGCCAGACCACTGCAGTGAGATGGAAGGGAGTGGCCCCAGCTTGGAACCTTTACAGACAGCCCTTTCTGTCACTGTGTTTGACTTTCTGCCTCCTGAACACAAGCAGAGAGGCCAGGTTACAGCAGCTATGAGAGGCAGCCAGCCCTGGACACTCAGAACCTCTCCGGCATACCCAAGGCCATTGCTCTGAGTCAAGCTCCTACTCTGGGCCCCTTTCCTCTTACAGCGAGTTCCCTCCCAGAGCCTCCTCACTGCACTTGGAGCAAGGCCCAGGCTCTCCTCCCTGCCACAAGGCTCTGCACATGAGGCCCTGCCTCCCTCGCTCAGCTCAGTCTCCTTGTCCAAACTCTCCAGAGGCTCAGATATAGCAAGTGTGCCCCTGCCCCTGGGCCTTTGCACTTGCTGCTCCTTCCACTTGGGAAGCACTGCTCTAGACAGTGTGGCTGCTTCCTTTGCCTCTTGTGGGTCTCATCTCAGCTGGGGCTCCTCCAAAGGCCTGCCTAAACCCTAGTTTAGCATCTCCCACTCACTTGTCTTGTTCTCTGCTGAATCCTTAGCACCTAGAATTGTGTACAACACACTGTTGGAGCCCAGTAAATCTGAGTTGCTGGGGAATCAGGGTTCCTGGCTCAGTGGAGGAGGGGACAAGTAACGAGAACTCTGCCATGTTCTCAGAACTCTGCAAAAAGCCAAACAGAGCAAAGGAAGCCCTGTCAGCTCCACCCGGGAGGGCCGGATATGATGTCCAGCAGACATGAGCTCAGCAGTGAGCTTCAGAAGATGCCCAGCTCAGTGGTCAGGGCCAGCCTTGAGGACCTCATGTGAACTGAGACCTACAGGAGGGACAGGGTGCAGCTGCAGGCATCTGGGATGTGCCAAGGCCCTGAGGCAGGGGTCACTAGGAAGCAGCAAGTGTTTCCACAAGAGCCAGAAAAGAAAATACAGAAGATGGGGATGTGGGTAAGAGCTTGGCCTCGGGGAGGCTTCGTCATTGGTGGGATCTTGGCTCCTTCTGTGATGAAATCTTACACACTGGAGCGGCTGCATCTGAACTGCGTTTCCCAGTGACCCCCGTGCCAGCGCTAACAATGCCCAGTTATGAGTCTACTCGGGCATATTTCCAGATGATTCCACTGCCCTCTTTCTAAAAATAGTGGCCATTTTTTAGAAGCACAGAATTTAATAGCCTGATGTTCTGGGAGGTTGCCACATTTCGATTCTTTGCAGCTCTGTCACCAGAGCCCCTGCCTTTGCTTTTCTGTCCCTCGCTTCCTAGGTCAGACTACGTCACTGCAGGTCCCACAGCGTCAGGAGCTGACAGAGTGCACAGCTCAAGCCTCTCCGTCTCCGTGTCTTCCACCTGTGAGCGGAAATCCAGCAGCCCCGCGGGGACAGGGAGGAATAACCTGCTGGTGCTTTTCACTGATGCAGTTCAGTTTCTGGAATGGAACTCACACACTTTTGTAGCAGAAAGGCCCAGAAGCGCCTCCCTTTAGAGTGCACACGTGTGTGTGCCTTCCTGTTGGAGAGTGAGTGCTTTGGGCTCGTACACACACACACTTGCCCCTCTGCAGAGCTCCACTGTGCCCAACAGAGGCCCAGGGCTGTACATGCTGCCATTTTGGACATTGTCCTCCTCACGCCAATGGAACCAGAGAGGAACGAATATCTCTGCATCACACATGAGGAAACTGGGATCTCTCCAGAGGTTTAGGACAGCTCAGGCTGCGTCTGCTCACCTCTCCATGCCCCTCGTCCTTGAGAGCATGAATCTCATCTTCAGAGTGTGTTTCTACAGCCCAGCACCGAGAGGGAGGAGGGAGTTCAGCTATGTTTTGCTGGGTCTGAATCTGTATTTGTGAGCAGTCCTTTCAATGCCCCATGCATGCATCCAACCAATATTAACTGAGCACCTGCTGCATTCAGGGCCCTGTGCTAGCTATGGAGACATGGTGGGAGCGGGGTGGGCTAAGTCCCTGCCCCTGTACAGTTTGGCTTCTTATGAGGGAGTCAGGTGTTAAACCAATAGTTAACGCTAAATCTGGGTGTGATCCCAGTCAGAACTGAGGTGCCAAGAAGGGAAACTGAGATGTCAGAGAGACAGACAGACAGAGGGAGAGATTCTTTAAATGGAAGTTAGAAGAAACCTTTCTGAAGAGGGGACATTTGAATGGACTGAGAACTGAGGGAGTGAGCCACACAATCATAAGGAGAAAAGGTGGGTCTTCCAGCAGGGGTGGTAGCACATGCCAAGGGCCTGGGGTAGGAACAGGCTCCATACACAAGGCGCTGTGTCTCCACCTGCACAGCAATGTTGGCTCTCTACCCACAGCTCCCTAAGATCCCTTCCTATGCTCCCACCTACCCATGTGCTTTGACTCCCATCAGCCAGGTCCTGTGGCTCTTTTTCCAAGTCACTTTGCACACCCAGGCAGAAGGAGGGAGCACTGGGAATGGCAGTCCTCCCACTACCGCCCTCCTATGCATCCTTGAACAAGCCCCCCTGGATGGGGACAATTATTGAGAGGAGCTCGAGCTCCAGGTCCCCTGCAGAACCCACTACAGAATGCCCAAACACACGCTGGGCAACGTCGCAGCAACCCATGAGACAGTAACATGCATCAGCACAATGTCACCTCGCACTATTGAAACGATGGAGACACACACTCCATCACGTCCTGGTACACATCCCAGCCCTCCGGGCCCTCAAACTGGAACAGAGCAGAGTTCCGTGTCCTGCAGGTCCAAGCTCAAGGCGCCGCCTTTTGTCATTAAGAGGACACAGGTCCGCGGTGGGACAGGAGGAACTGCGGCGACTCTTGCTTTTCCAATTCTCCCGCTGCACAAATCTCAGGGGCCAGGCTGACACTGTAAAGTTGGCCAAAGCCACCTCCCCTCCCCACCCGTCCTGGGCGCAGGACAGCAACCCCCACGCCCCCTCCTGCGAGGCCCAGGTCGACTTCCGGGCACTGAAAGTGGCTGCGCTAACCAATTAGCTGGCGCCCTCATCAAAGTGAGATCCCTAGAATTTTGCAGGTGTCTGTCTTTGTCACTTTCTCAATGCTGGGGCACAATATCTGACACCCACCACTTAAAGGAGAGGTTTATTTTGGCTTACAGTTCAATCCACAGTTGACTGAGTCCAAGGTAGAAAGGGGAAGCGAGAGAGTCCTGCAGAGGAAAGCTGTTCACATCCCAAAGGTCAGAAAGCAGAGCAAAGGGAGGCACAAGGGAGCGAGAGAAACCCTTGGGAGGCAGGGACCTGCCTCCTCCAACCAGGCCCCTCCTCCTCCAACCAGGCCCCACCTCCTCTAACCAGGCCCCTCCTCCTCCAACCAGGCCCCTCCTCCTCCAACCAGGCCCCACCTCCTCCAACCAGGCCTCTCCTCCTCCAGCCAGGCCTCTCCTCCTCCAACCAGGCCCCACCTCCTCCAACCAGGCCCCTCCTCCTCCAACCAGGCCCCACCTCCTCCAACCAGGCCCCACCTCCTCCAACCAGGCCCCACCTCCTCCAACCAGGCCCCTCCTCCTCCAACCAGGCCCCTCCTCCTCCAACCAGGCCCCACCTCCTCTAACCAGGCCCCTCCTCCTCCAACCAGGCCCCTCCTCCTCCAACCAGGCCCCACCTCCTCCAACCAGGCCCCACCTCCTCCAACCAGGCCCCACCTCCTCCAACCAGGCCCCACCTCCTCCAACCAGGCCCCACCTCCTCCAACCAGGCCCCTCCTCCTCCAACCAAGCCCCTCCTCCTCCAACCAGGCCCCACCTCCTCTAACCAGGCCCCTCCTCCTCCAGCCAGGCCCCTTCTCCTCCAACCAGGCCCCACCTCCTCCAACCAGGCCCCACCTCCTCCAACCAGGCCCCACCTCCTCTAACCAGGCCCCTCCTCCTCCAACCAGGCCCCTCCTCCTCCAACCAGGCCCCACCTCCTCCAACCAGGCCCCTCCTCCAACCAGGCCTCTCCTCCTCCAGCCAGGCCTCTCCTCCTCCAGCCAGGCCCCTCCTCCTTCAACCAGGCCCCTCCTCCTCCAACCAGGCCCCTCCTCCTGCAACCAGGCCCCTCTTCCTGCAACCAGGCTTTGCATCCTTCAATCAGGTTCCACCTCTTAACAGCACTTTCTGCTCCAGACTCTTCAGTGCATAATCCATTGATGAGCAAAATCACCTAAAAGCCCACCTGTGAACACTTGTGACTTTTGGAGGCATTCTAGATCTAAACTATAACAGTGTCATTGGGGAAAAAGCATCTGACCTCAGGGACCTCAGCTTTAAGCATGAGCTGTGTCCTGAATAGGTGGGTAAGTTACTGTGATAGCCCTGAGTCCTCTTGTCCCTCCTCCTACCAGGGAGTGGCGGGGTGGAGTCTGCCCACCCTCTTGAATTTAAGCTGGCCTTGTAGGTTAGTTTTCTAATGCTGGAAACACCACCAACTTAAAGGCTTGACGAAAGACCCATTACTTCAGTGCCAGTAGGGGAGGTGTCTAGGAACAGCTGACTAGATTCTGCTCAGGTCCCCAGATTGCAAGCAAGGTGTCCACTCTCGTCAGAATCCACTCTCGTCAGAAAGCTCAGCCCCTGCTCCAAATGTGTAGGTCCTTGACAAAATAAGACCCTGGCCTTGTAGGACAGGCGCTTGGCTCCTGGAAGGCACCCATCATTCCTGCCTTACAAACTCCACAGTGGGGAAGTTGGCCTCTTCAAGGTTGGGATGAGAGCTGTTCGCTGCTCTGAATCTCTCTTTGGGCAAAGCCTTGGCCCCTCTTTCCAAGAGCTCCCCTAATGCCAGGCGTGGTGGCTCATCCCTGTAATCCCAGCACTAGGGAGGCTGAGGCAGGAGGATGGTTGCAAGTTTGAGAACAGCCTGTGCTAGAAAGAGCTCACGGCCAGCCTGAACTGCATGGTGAGACCCTATCTCAAAAAGACCAAAAATAAATACATACATACATACATAAATAAGCTCCCCTCACTAGAGCAAACCAAGGTAGACTCACTTTTGAGCAGTTCAAAGTCAACTGATTGAGGGCCTGGGGGGTAGGGGGGGTCAAAAAATACAAAAAAGAAAAGTCAAATGCTGTGGACCCTTAATTCCATCTGCAATCATGGAGGTAAAATCCCAGCCCTTCCCTAAGCCTCACCCACTCTTGGGGGGTGGGGATCATGCCAGACAAGCACCAGACAAGGCCGGAGGGGACAGGAACCTTGTATTCGTTCAGCTCCCCATACCTTGTGACTTGCCGTGGCCAGCAGGATGTGCAGGGAGCAGTGCTGCATGACTTCCAAGGCTGGGCGTTAAGAGACCTTGTGACATTTCTACCTTGTGTGGTTCCCATAGCCATATAAGGAAGCCTGAGACAGACTATAAAATGCTGAGAGCTCAGGATCAAGAGGGCCAGCCAGCAACCAGCTCTAAGGCCCCACAGGAAGATTACCCCTCGGCCTTATCTCTGATGTGGTCGTCTAAGTGACCTTCATCAAACAGGAAACAGAAAAGGCCAGCCGAGCCCAGCCAACTGGATGGTCAGCACAGATGATAAATCCTTGTGTTTTAGATTACTACATTCTGGTGCCTCCTGCCACAGGCTTGTTCCCTAGCACACAGTAACTGAGAGGCCTCTTTGGGCGGCTCAATGTCTCCCTCGCAGTGATGGACCCAACGTCAGAACTGTAGGCGGTCAGAGGTGAAGGGACTTTGTTTCACAGAACAAAGATGATCTCCCGGGAAGAGTTATAAATCTCTTAAAACCTTGCAGTGAACTGGGATTTAATGAGTCATCAACTCAAAAATGCTGTGAACCACGAAAAATGACCAGTGCACCTCGCCATGCTGAGGTTGGGAAATGAAGACCCAGTGGGGGACAAAGGACTTTTACAACATCGCCCACTGCCAAAAGAGAAGGGACAAAGGCCCTAGTACCCACAGTCCCCTGGCATCTCGTCTTGGGACCCCTCATGAGTCCCTGCGGGCTCCACTGCCTGGGACAAAGTCAGAGCTCAACTGGTACTCAAGGTGCTGTCCGTCTTGTAGTGCCACCACTTGCCGTGTCCCTCAACCCAAGCCTCAGCAAGTGACTCACCAATTCCCGAAGCACGAAGCACAGGGGTACTGGAGCACTGGGACAGTAGCCCACACTACTCTCTCTCCTAGAGACGCCCTTTGGCTCTTTGCTAGCCGGCCAATGCCCGTCCCGCCCTGGCCTCTGCTCCCCTAGGCTCACCTGTCCTATACATGTCTTTTGCAGAGGGCTGCATAATCCCCCTAAAATACCCACTACCTACTCTCTAGAACCTTCAAATATGATTCCGCATGTACCGTGTGAATTACCCTATAGAAAGGCATTCTGCAGGTACTGTTGAGTTAGCAGGGTCGCACAGGGGAGATTCTCTCCAGTGAGCTCAGGGGACCCAGGGTCATCTCGGGGTCAGCCAGTGGAAGGCACCGCGGTGGGGCGAGCAAAGCTCGGAGGGCCACGGCTATGTGCCGAGGAACAGCAGCAGCTTCTAGAAGCTGTGCAAAGCAAGAACAGACTCCCCTGGAGCCTCCAGAAGAAGCCAGATGGACAACACCTCAGCTCAGCTCAGTGACACTGATTTGGGACTTCTGACCCCCACTTGTGATCATTTGTTACAGCAGCAACAGGAAACTCCTACACTGTTGCAGTAGCAGTCACAAGGTACAGCAGGTCCCTGTGGACCTGAGTGAGCTCTGCTCCCCCTCCCCGTTTTTCCTCCCCCTCCTGCCCTCTCCCTCCTTCCTCCTCCTCCACCCCTCCATCCCTCTCCTAGCTCAGGAGCAGCTTTGCCTCCTGATGGCTTAACCCAAGGTGGACATAACAAAGGTTCAGAAATACTGCTGAATGGGCCAAGTGGGTTAGTGCTTACCACTTCCTCCTGCCACCTTCTCCCAGCCTGCACACACACACACACACACACACACACACACACACACACACACACAGTCATGTCTGCACAACTCACCTCCAGGCAGGCAGCTGTGTCTGACGCCAAGCTCACCTCAGTGTGCCAGCTAACAGTTGTCTCTCAGAAGCTGTGAGATTTTAAAGGGGGATGGCATTCTCTCAAGGTAATCCTTGGACAAACCCAGTGATGCAAAGCTGAAATCTTGCTGTGGTTAATTTAAAACTGCAAGAGCGGGTGTCGCACTGGGCATGGTGCCTCATACCTATAATTCTAGCACTTGGGAGGCTGAGGCAGGAGGATTGCAGTGAGTTTGAGGCCTGGGCTACACAGTGAGCTCAAGGCCAGCCTGAACTACATAGTGAAACCCTGTCTTTCCAAACAACAAAAACAAAACACCAGACGTTGCAGTACAAAAATGTAAAAAAAAAAAAAAAAAAAAAAATTCTCCCAAAAAAGAGGTGATGGAAGAAAAGAATCCTGGTCCTTACCCATCCACAGCCATTCCTCTCTATCCCATCTCAGTCCCCCACAGTCACAGAAATTTGGTGAAATCTGTGATCACTGACACTCATACTGGAAGATGTCCAATTTCTATCATTAAGCGTGCAAAGGGGATTCTAGAACAGTGTGTATAGTGTGATTCTATTTGTTCTAAAAATTGGGGATTTAGCTCAGTGGCATAAGCGCCTGCCTTGTAAGCAGGCAGTCGTGAGTTCGATCCCCGGTACCGATAAAAAAGAAAAAGACAAAAAAAAAATTGCAATATAGTGATGTGTACATATTCACATACAGGTGTGTTTATACAGACGTTGAACAGGAACTAGAAGACTTCCGAAGATGTTAACAAAGCTTTCGTGGAAGTTATGGGCACAGGGCCTTTTGTTGGTTTGCTTTGCTTTGCTCCGGTTTTTGAGATCGGGCCTCCTATGAGGCTGACCTCGAATGTACCATGTAGCGCAGGCAGGTGATCTGCCTGCCTCAGTGCTGTTTTTATTTTTCTTACAATGTTTTTTAAAGATTTGTTTTGCATAGAACAAGACCATCGGCATAGCAGAAAATAAAGTTTAAATTATTTCAAAATCAACGGCACGGAAGGGCTTGGGAAGGGTTCGTGTGGCAGGGCAGCCCAGGCCCGGCAACCCCTCCCCCAATCTCCCCTGCGCAATGGCGGGGACAGAGGAGCTACAGCTGCAGACCAGAGACGTGGCGAGGGGCCTGAGAACCAGAACACGTACCCACGAGCACGAGGGCGGTTCTGTGGAGTGACCCACGGATGACCCTCTTGGACCAAGTCTGGGCGCCAGGCGTTGTCGCCCGCCTCGCGGCCTCTCCCGCCCCACTGGCTGCCACAAGCCAGCCCGTCAGTGGTGGGCCCGGCCTCCAGGGCCTCCAGGGCGAGGCAGGTGCCTTCGGACCGCGGCCGGAGCCAGAACTCCCCGGCTCACCTCAGCCTCCCGGACCTGATTTACCACACACACACACACACACACACACACACCCTACTTTCCTGCGGTGGCGTTTTTGTTTTAATTCATCTGAACTGGTTACAAAACCATACTCCCACGAATACATAAATAATGGATAAGGGTGTGTGTGGGGGACGATGTCTTAAAGAAATTCCCGCAAGGCCTGGCAAGGCAACAGCGAATGCATTTCTGCTGTATCATATTTAACTGTTTGCAAACTTCCACATGAGGATGCGCAAGACTGCAGACACTCGGGCTCCAAGCGCACTTCCCCATCTGGGCCTAGGGGGGTCGCGAGTAGGGGAGAGGGCGGCGGCGACTAGGAGCCCGCAAGACGATGGGGAGCAGTGTAACACCGCACTGCGCCTCACCCGGCTCTGCGCAAGCCAGCCCCCCTGTCCACCGGTCTCCACTCCTGGTCCCCAACTCCAAGCAGGGCCCCTTTAAGAGGCAGCGCACGCCCCCGCCCCGCCAGTGCTCACTTTCCCTAGCAACCGCCCCGGGGGAGGGGGAGGTCCTGGCAACGGCGCGCTGGCCGGGCGGGTCACGTGACGGCCCGCCGCTGGAACGCGAACGCGCGCCCCGGCGGGGCCTGTGCGCTGCGCGCGTGCGCGAGCGGTGCAGCACCAGCCGCGGGAGCAGGGAGTATTATGGGCTGTGGGTGCCGCTGAGCAAGATGGAGCTGTCTGCAGTGGGCGAGCGGGTCTTCGCGGCCGAATCCATCATCAAGCGGCGGATCCGCAAGGTGAGCCTCCGCCCGGGCTGGTGTCAAGTCCGCGGGACCCGGGGCGAGGCGGTCCCGCTAGCCCGGCGCCCTCGGTCGCCCCCGCGCCGCCGCCTGCAAGCGTCCCGCATCTTCCCCGCCCCCACCCCCCCTTTTTTCCCCGTTCTGTTTTTCAGGGACGCATCGAGTACCTGGTGAAATGGAAGGGGTGGGCCATCAAGTGAGTGTCGCGGGGCCCAGGGCCGTGGGGGAGGGGCGGCAGCGGCTCCGGGCCGTGGGGAGGGGGTGCGCGTGAGCTCCCGGGTTTTTACGTCGGTTTGTGCACGCGTGGCCCTGCAGGTACAGTACTTGGGAGCCCGAGGAGAACATCCTGGACTCGCGGCTCATCGCCGCCTTCGAGCAGAAGTGAGTCGGGCCAGTTGGCAGGGCGCGGGCGGGAGCCGGGAGCCGGGAGGGCCGCGCGTGGGCCGGGGCCGGGGTCGGAAAGGGGCTCCCCGTAACCTCTGGTGTTTCTCGGCCGCAGGGAGAGGGAGCGTGAGCTGTATGGGCCCAAGAAGAGGGGACCCAAACCCAAAACTTTCCTGCTGAAGGTAACCTGGCGCGGCCCCAGCAGCCCCTTCTCGGGCCCCCAGCCCTGCGCTGCGCGGGGCCTGGAAGGGAGGGACAGCTCCGCGGCCGCCAGGCGGGCGGGCTTTGCAGAGGCCCCAGCTGGGCAGGGGGTGATGAGGAGCCCCCAGCACCCCTTGGCAGCAAGCCGCGGCAGGCTCAGCACACGGGGCCTGGGAGTGGGCATAATCCTCGAGGAGGGAACCAGGCTCGGTGTGCACAGGGCTCCAGGACGGGGATGGCGGAGGCCTGGGGAGGATGCCCATGGGAGGGTTTCTGCGCTGTGTTCCCTCACCTGCCCCAGCCTTGAGCGCTGGGGTTGTGCCAGGAGTGGAGCGTGAGGAGCGCGCAGGGAGGCGCTTAGGAGACCACCTGCTCCCGCCCCTGGCTTCCCGCCTGTCTCAGGGTTCGACTTGCACCCCTCCCCATCTCACTCCGGGCCCAGTTTGATTTAGATGTTAAACCACTTCGACCTGAGTTTATCAGTCAGCCTGAGCCGCAGATATCGGGCCCTGAGCCTCTCTCTCTAATCCTGGTTGGTCTGGAGGTTTAGTGAGGATGGGGTGGGGAAAGTACAGCCTGTTTACATTGGCAAGGGAGGGAAGAACTTCCAGAGGAAGCCATCTTAGGGTCTTGGGGATGTTGGTGAGGAATTGCAGAGTCTAGGAAAGAGAACAAGATGACAGGCAAGGCCTACGGAAGGACCCCCTGGGCCAGCTCAGCCTCCCTGGAGGACTAAGGTGCATCCAGGCCCAGACCACCCAGCAGCTAGTAATTTTGTGGCTTTCCCCACCCAACCGGGAGAGCTTTTTTTGGAGAAGAGACTGCAGCGTGCAGAACCTGTAAATCTCCAGTTTGTCCAAAAGGCTCAAAGCCCATCCAGAGTGTGGGGTGGGCCTGTCCTCCTGCCCACTGTGCCGCCGCCCCCAGCCATAGGACCGTGTGTGTAGGGTTTGCTTTGGCCTTAATGCAGAAGTGGGAAAATGTTGGCTTTCCAGAATTTCATATTTCTACGTCCCCCGCCCCAGTCACTGCACATCTTGGGGGATCTGCTGAGCTACCTTAACTCTGGTGCTTCGCAGCAGGAGGGATGGGGCGGAGCAGCTGGAAGGCTATGACAGCCTCTCAACGCATCTGGAGCGCCCTCTAGTGGCGATGCGAGTGATGCTCGGGCCTAAAAATCACAAAACACCTTTTAAAAAACATCTTTTCTTGATGGTTCATTCCTGAGCTGATTTATGGACCCATTACCGTGCTGAGCCCTCTGCATGAATCCTTTAATTCTCACAACCCTATGAAGTGAGGAATGGTCACCCATTTCATAAATTAAAAACCGAGGCCCATCCAGCTGTGGTAGTGCACACCTGTACCCCCAGCACTCGGGAGGCTGTGGCAGGACGATCCCCTGAGTTCAAGGCCACCCTAAATTACATAGTGAGATCTCATCTCAAGAAAGAAAAAAAAAATCAAGGCCCAAGAGCAGACATAATTTACTTGAGATCCTGCCGCCGAGCTTCCTGGCTCCATCTTTTTCTTCTCCTGGTCCCTCAAGGAGTCAGGTTAAGGGGCAAAGGTGAAGACACACAGAAGAAATGTGGGGGTGCAGACATAGCGGGCAGGGGGTGTGGAGATCCCAAGAATGACCGTATCTTGACCTAGACCTTGAGAGCTATAGCTTGATATTTGCAAGCGGGGGAGGAGACAGCTTGGGCTGAACATTGTCTGTGACCACAAGTCAGCAGGTTACACCCAGACAGCACTTTCTGCTGGGAGCCAGGAAGGACACAGGAGCCTGTAGGATCGTTCCCATGCTTCCCATTCCACACCAGGAGAAAATGGCCAGCAAGGTTTTGTAATTTGTCAGTGGTCACAGTCACCAAGAGGCCAGGTGCTTAAACTTTTCTTGCTGTTTGCAGTGCACAGCAGCTCTCGGGGACATGCTTGTCCCCCAACTGGAGTGCTACAGTAAAGATGTTGGCTGCGATTCTTTTTAGTTCACCAGACAAATCCAGGTCTTGCTTTGAATGAATGATCAACCCCATGGAGAATGATGGCTCTTACATATTATAAAAATGATGTTATAAAAGAAAAAAATTACAAAAGTATTTCTTGTAGAAAGTTTGGGAAGCACACACTGGAAAGGGATGATTTCCCAGCCCTCTGGCGCACACCAGGTGTGAACTGAGTGCGGTGTCCAGGCAGGTACTAAGCAGGTGTCACCTGCCATCTGATTGCCACAAATGTGTGGCCGGAGGCCAGGAGGTTTATCCTGTGTTTCTGTCCACACTCACCACTGAATGCTTATAGACCTTAGTTACAGAGGCAGTGTGCAAAAGGAGTAAACAGCAATCCGGAGGCTTAGGAAGAGGGGGTCCCCTGAGTGACCAGGGGGATGCGCCTGCAATAAGCCTGGGCTTTCCCCTGCCTTTGTCTAGGAAGTGCTGTGAGGGGCTCAGTCCCTGGGGAATAGTGGGAACCCTGAGCATCCTTCCTGTGTGCTGCCACCTAGTGGCCAGAGGAATTGTAACCCAAGCAGTCCTGGGTGATGCCAACCGGTACCCAGAGGAGGCTAGCATTAAAGTGTCCCCCCTCCCTCTGTGGCCCCGCCCCAGGGGAGTAAGGACCACATTCTAAATGAAGATTTCCCTGCTTTGTTGGAAAGACAGCAAACATTCTCCCGGTGTCACTTGAGGGTCCTGCTGTCCCCCGGGTCTCCCACAAGGAAGCAGGTGAGCTCAGCCCTGGAAAGAACCTGGGACTGTTAGCAAGGCTGCCCACAATCCTTGCCTCAGTGCTGCCTACTGCCATCTGGGTATAGCGACACAAGAGTGGTTGACCTACTTGCAGGCCTGTCTCCACCAGACTGGTGCCTGGCCAGCTTGGGTTTCTGCTTGGGCTTTGGAATACATTAACCACAGCTCATTGTGAGCCAGGGCCGGGCCACGGGTGAAGCAGGCTCAGAAGGACAGGCAGAGGCGCAGGGAGCATGGAGCTGGGGCTGAGGGCCAAGAGGAAACCTAGAGGTGAGCTTTGCCAGGAGGCAGGTTGGAGCCGGAGGTCAGCCAAGACAGAGGTGGAGAGACATGGCATCAGGGACTCGCCTTTTCTGTCACCAAGAATTGGTCCCTGGAGGTATCCCGGGCTGGGCTGGGATATTCGTCAGTTTTGCTGAGCAAGGGCTGTCCTCAGGTGTCACATCCTGATTACTGACCCTGGGCAGGCCAAGGCTGACTAGAGTCTCCCCAGCCCACTCGTGGGATAGGAAAAGACAGGCTGGGGCTTGGGCCTGGCCCCACCTTAAGCAAGCAGCATCACCTCCCTGGGCCAGTGTCCTCTTCTAAGTTGGGGCCCTGTGTACCCTGTCACTCGCTTTGCATCCTCTAGATCGATGAGAAATGCCAGTGTAGGTCAAGGTCAGGGCAGCGGGAAGCCCTGAGGTCCCACCCACGCCCCTCTGCCCGCAGGCCCGGGCCCAGGCAGAGGCCCTCCGCATCAGTGATGTGCATTTCTCTGTCAAGCCGAGTGCCAGCGCTTCCTCGCCCAAGTTACACTCCAGCGCGGCCGTGCACAGGCTCAAGAAGGACATCCGCCGCTGCCACCGCATGTCCCGCCGCCCCCTGCCCCGCCCGGACCCCCAGGGCAGCAGCCCAGGCCTGCGCCCGCCCATCTCGCCCTTCTCCGAGACCGTTCGCATCATCAACCGCAAGGTGAAGCCGCGGGAGCCCAAGCGGAACCGCATCATCCTCAACCTGAAGGTGATAGACAAGGGCCCGGGCTCCGGGGGCGCCGGGCAGGGGGCCGGGGCGCTCGCCCGCCCCAAGGTCCCCTCCAGGAACCGCGTCATCGGCAAGAGCAAGAAGTTCAGCGAGAGCATCCTGCGCACGCAGATCCGCCACATGAAGTTCGGCGCCTTCGCGCTCTACAAGCCCCCGCCAGCCCCGCTGGCGCCCCCACCGGCCGGCAAGGCCGACCCGGCCGCCTCCCCGGGCCCCGGGCTGCTCCTGGCCCCGCCCGCGGCCCCCTACGACGCCCGCAGCTCCGGCTCCTCGGGCTGCCCCTCCCCCGCGCCGCAGTCCTCCTCTGACCCCGACGACACGCCCCCCAAGCTGCTCCCCGAGACCGTGAGCCCCTCCGCTCCCGAGTGGCGGGAGCCCGAGGTGCTCGACCTGTCCATCCCTCCGGAGGCCGCAGCCAGCAGCAAGCGGGCGCCTCCCTCCGATGTCGCGCCAGCCGCCGTCCAGGCACTTCCTGCGGCCCCCGAGCCCACCGGTGCCTCCTCTGAGCCCGAGGCTGGGGACTGGCGCCCGGAGATGTCGCCTTGCTCCAATGTGGTCGTCACCGATGTCACCAGCAACCTCCTGACGGTCACTATCAAGGAATTCTGCAACCCCGAGGATTTCGAGAAGGTGGCTGCCGGGGTAGCAGGTGCTGCTGGGGGCATTGGTAGCAGTGGGGTGAGCAAGTGAGGGGCGTCCCCCTCGGGAGGGGGGGTGTGGGGGGGCCCTTCCATCCGAAATCACTCTTGTGCTCCCATCCCACCTCTGCCCTTAGACCTGCCTGCCTGTGCTTCGCTTGTCTCAAATGGCTAGGTGCTGACCCAGGGATGGGGCCGGGCAGTTGGCCCCCACGAAGGCCAGTAGGTGGGGTTGGGGCCGGGCACTGAGGAAGGCTCCCTCCTGTCTCTTGGCACCGTCCCTGCCCATGCACAGTGGGGCCTTCTGTGTGGTTTCTGGGAAGACCCGGACCTGGGGTTCACCTGCCCCGCCGCACGGCCACATCCCGCCCCGGCGTCTCTCCCAGCTTGCTTCTTGCTCTCGTGTACAGCGTCTGATCTCGGTGCTAACTCGGCAGCTGAGGGGCCTTTAGGAGACCCCACCTAGGGCGGGCACAGCCCCTTTCCTCTGCCCATCTGGCAAAGCCCTGGAGTGAAAGATGAGGCCAGGTGGGTTCCTCTGCACACCAGCGAGCTTGGCAGCCACTTCGGGACCAGGCCCATACGGGCCCCTGGTGCCCACCCCTGCCGTTCTGAACCCAGAACGCATCCTGCCACCACCTCTGGGCATCTAAGGGACCTTGCAATTCTTGACCAAACGTTCTGCAAGCTCCTGCTGTAGAGACTCCAGCTGTGTGTGTGTGCCTACCCTGGGCAAGTGTATACGTGGGTCTGTGTGTGCATTGGGTGCTGGGTGCCAGCCTTTCCTGATGGCACCTTTACTACACCTCGGAACAGGGTCTTAAAGTCCTGGCCCCGGCCTGCCTTGGCAAAGTCTGGCATGGTTGGGTCTGGGCAGTTTGCTGTGGGAGCCCCAGGCCTCCTTCCAGCCCAGTGCACTGGGGGCAGTGAGCCCTGGGCCCTACTACGGAAGTGGTCAGCCTGGCTAGTTGGGCCTGGCTTGCGGTCATGGCCTGGTAGGGATTGTGGCAGAGCCAGAGTCCACACCAGCCTCCGTCCACCCAGTGGTTGGGGAGCAAGGAGGAGACCATGGAGACTTCCTAAGCATCTCTGCCTTCTCCCATTCCCTCGCTTAGGCTTCTGACCATGAGGCTTTTTCAGAGCCCAGCCTGCTCGAAGCCACGGGATGCCAGGTGCCCGGGCAGCTTCCATTGCTCTGTGCTGCCTGGGCACCAAGGTCCCCATGCCAGCAGCAGTGACCAAAGCCCTACTTTTAGGTTGGGCACTGGGAGGTAGGCCAAAGGGGAGAGACCCCATGTTCAGGGTGGCAAGGGGATTAGTTGCCGGGGGACTGGCCTACTTTTGACTACTGCCTGGGACGCAGTTGAGTGTGGCTGGCACGTTCCTGCATGTGGCTGGAGCTGGTTTCCGGGTGTGTGCAGCAGTGGGTACCTCGTTCAGAAGCAGGACAGCAAGAGGCGGGCGGGACGGGGACCTGATGAGATGGGCAGCACCTTGGTCCTTAGAGGAGGATACTTCTGCGTCTCCTGGCCGGGCTGCTGCACGGCCCCCCCTCTGCATTGCTTTGCTTGCAGGGTATAGAACAGGGGCCCTCACAGGGCTTGAGGGGTGGCCCTCCGGCCTCCCCCACCACGCCACCCTTTGTGCAGACCCTGTGACCATCCAAGTGCCAATTGGCTTTTCCTCCAAATAAGGGCTGGTATTTCTCCTCTGTCCTCAGAGGTGATTTCCCCCAACCCCTTCCCAGGTGCCACTCACCTGGGTACCCGTTACAGGTGTTTCCAGAGACCATAGAAATGTGTTTTCCTGAGAGTCTGTGTCATTGGTGACTTTTTTTGTAAAGAAGTTGTGTTTTCAGAGGTGATTTTATGACAGGAAAGTGAAAGAATTAGTTTTGCAAAAAAAAAAAAAAAAAAAGGGAAAAAGCAAAAAAAAAAAAAAAAGGAAAAAAAGAAATAGAAAAAACTATTGTGGGGTTCCTAAGGGAGTGGGGTGGGGGGAGAAAGAGATATTTAACGAGAACCTAGTAGCGTGGCATTGCACAGCCGAGGTGGCGAGGTTAGGGGGGCTGGGCCGGGCGGGGGCTGCTGGCAGTGTGGACCCAGCCTGGCCTCCGGCCACCTCCCCTCTTTAGCTCCAGGTGGGTGAGACTTCCTTGCCCAGCTGGGCCCAGACTTCCACACCCGTCCTTGTCCTTGCTTGAAGGGAAGGCAACAGCCTGTCCCAGGGGAGCTGGCCTGAAGCTGGGGTGCCAGGCAGACAGAGGCCAAGGGCTCCGAGACTCGGCAACCGCGGGGGTCTGCAGGGACCTCCACCAGCCTGTGGTTGGTGATTTTCTCCAGGAAGCCTGGTGAGTAGGCAGTTTGGTTCTTGCTGTCCTTCCTTTGCCAGCTTGTTGGGCCATCTGGTCCCTACCACTGCCATTCCATGGGAGGACAGTCCCTCCCGTCACCCCAAAGACCCTGACATCCCTGAGCTTCCCTAGCAGGAGAGGGATGCAGGCTGCACGGAGCTGTGGGCCCCTGGAGACTGTGTCGGGGTGGTGGAGAGACGGCGGTGCCATCCCTCTCCCAGGCTCTCCCAGGGGCAGCGCCTGGTGCCCACTGCCTGGAGGCAGATGCCTTCCAAGGGGCTGAGTGGGCACTGGATCCACAGCAAGCCAAGCCCCCCGCCCCCATCTCCCAGGGGGCGCAGTGCAGGCCCTGACCACACTCCTGCACGCAGCTCGGCCTCCTGCGGGCCCTCCTCTGCCCCGTGCTGCTTTCCCATTTGCCTAATTACCAAGCAGAAGTTGCAATCTGGTTTGCTTTATTTTTGTATGTGAAATAACCCCCAAAGCCCAATCTCCCACGTCCAGTATTTCGTGGGCATCAGTTATCTCCTCTTAAACGCACCCCTGCCCACCCATGTGTCACAGGAAACAGGTGGAGTCTGGTGCCTCTGGGTTGAGTAGGAAAGTGGGGACCCACCCGTCTTGTTTCTCCTCTCCCCTTGGTCTGCACTTCCACAAAGCCGTGTCGGGACGGCAAGACCTTGGCTGAGGCACTGCTGGCATCTAAGGCCCAGCGTTGCTCTGAGCACCCACAGACGCCTTTATTCTCAACTCTGGAAAGAGTAAGGTCAGAGTGAGCCTCCTGCCTCTGATTGGGGAGAGGCGGCCATTGATCAGTGGAGTAGGGCAGGAGGGATTGCACCCTACTTGAGAGGCAGCACAGCTGCTTTCCTGGGGGACGTGGCAGGCCTGTAGCCTAGGCTGCCCTGGCCTTTGGGGAACAGCCCTTTTAAGGATGGGGAACCCCAGGCCAGCACAAGGTAGTAGGCAGATGCTCGAGCCGGGCAGCTTACGGCTGGAGGGTCAGCCCAGAGCAGGAGCTTGGTCAGTCCTGGGTGTGGGGGTTACCTTCTCTGGGCACCCAAGAAGATGGCTCCCCTTCTTCTGTTTTCTGTGGTTTGGTTTTGGGGTTTTGTTTTGTTTTGTTTTTCTTTTTGCACTTCGCCCACGCTGGACAGTGGAGCCCTGGCTGGTCAGTTCTGCTCCCGGGCTCCCATGCACTAACCCAAGGCTGCCTCTTTGGGGCTTGTATGGTTTGAGGAATCACTTTTTAAAAGAAAAAAGAAGTTTAAGGGTTTTACTTTTTTGCTCTGTTTGCATCTCCTCTCAATTCAGAAAGCCCAGGATGAGGGGCTAGAGCCCCAGGAGAGGGCTCTCCGGCCCCCTTTCTTACTAACATCAGGATAGGGAGGTGGGGAGCTGGTTGGGTAGGGGTCCAGGACCGCACCTCCCAGCCCGCACATCCCCTCAAGCCTTGAAGAAGTGAGCACTCGGCTCCACCAGTGGGTGAGCACCTACTGTATGCAGAGCATCAGCTAGGCTGCGGGGGCTGCTGGTCTAGTGGGGAACCCACTCCCGCGGGGCCAGGTAGGAGGCTGCTGCCCGCCCTTGCTGGCTGTTGGGTGCAGGGCAGATGGAGATGACTTCCGTTGGTTTTAATTTAAAAACACAAAGGCCTGAAGAAATAATGTATCTTATAATTTTTTTAATTTTTGAGAAGCTCATTTAATGAATTGTGCACGAATGGATTCTATATATATAAAAATATACGTATATAGCTCTATATTTGGGGAGGGGCACTGTCTCTTTTTCTCGCGCGCATTTTTAAGATAAAGTGTCGTTGCCTTTGTCTGTGGTTCAACCATCCAGCGCCCAGCTGGCTAAACTTTGCCTCCAGTGGTCAGAGGTGGGAATGTAGTAGGCTGGCAGGAGGGGAGCGGGGAGGGTCCCCTGCCCACCCTGCCCCTCCCGGGGAGGACTTCCGTGGAAACGGAGGGTTTCTTTTGGGTGTGGGTTCGGTTCTCTTGTTTCGGGTTCAGTGAATTCTGGGCCGGGGGAGGGCAGGTTCGTGCTGATTACTCTGTCTTGTACGTTTTGTTCTGCTGCTCTTCAATATTGTATGCCAGGAAAGGGGAGTGAAAAGCCTTTTACCCCCCAAATAAATTGTCACATTCCAAAACTGTTGCCCAGGTCCCAGAGCAGGACTTGTCTGCCTCGTTTCTTGTGCTGCGACTGTGATCATGAAAAAGCATCAAGCCCCACTGAACCCCGCCTGCCACAAGCTGCAGACCAGCCCTCTGTCCCTCCCAAGGCCTCCCCCAGATGACCTGACCCAGGGGTCCAGGACACAAGGGCGGGTAACAGGCTTCCTGCAGCCTTGAGACTGCCTGGTAGGCCAGCACAGGGCGAGTAGAAGGCAGAGCCCCCCACCCCACCCCAGTTGGAATAGCAGCACTCTCAGAAGGGGCCATGGGGCTGGCACAGGCCAGGAAGGGCACAGCAGTCATTGCCAGTGGTCCCCAGTTTGATGCCATGCATTCTTGTAACAAGCAGCTCTTCACAGCTCTGAAGGGGAGAACTCTGTGCCCTCCTCGGTGAGCTGGTGACATGAGGAGCACTGTCCCCACCTGTAACAGCTGCTTCTGTGCCTTCCCGCTCCATGTTGCCTCCCAGCTGGCCACCACATTGGCACCATGAGCACCTGCCTCCTCTGTGTTCTGTTCCCAGAAAGCCCTCATTCGGTACTTTCTGAAAACCCTGCGTTTCCAGTGCACCTGCTGCACGCAGCCTCAGTGAGCCCCACACCTACGTGGCCCAGGTCCCTGGCCTGTGCAAGAGGAGGTCGGGTGGAGCAAGGGTTGGCTCATCTGCTCCGTGGCTCATCTGTCACCTTGCCCCATCTCTCCCGACCTCTGTGCTTTCAGGAATCAAGGACCTGGGTCCCCTTGGGGGGCAGCTGTATCCTGAAACTGGTCAGGGCTGTCTCTTACTGCCCCTGCTAAGCTGCTAAGTCTGCTTAATGGTTGAAGGTTAATGAGCGTGACCATGGCAACTCTTGGAGAAGTGGAGGCTTTGTGATGAGAACAAGAGCACTGATTGGCTGAAAATACGCAGTGCTTAGCGAGCTGACACACCCCATCCCACTGGGGAGGAGGCAGGTGGAGGGAGGATCAGGGGTCTGGGGCAAGAACACTGCCCTCACCCCATGCTGGGAACTGAGCCCAGGCAAGCACCATACTGACCCACATCTCTGGCCTGAGGATGACTGTTTTGCAAAACTATTGTGTGATGTTTTTTGCTTTGTTTTGTTTTGTTTTGTTTTATTTTGTTTTGGTACCAGGGGTCGAACTCAGGACCTTGCACTTGCCAGGCAGGCGCTTACGTCACTGAGCTAGATCCCCAGCTCTGCCATGTTTTTGAAATTGAAACTTGAATGGTTTCATTGGTCCTTGTCAAGCTGTGCCCAGAGTGAGAGAGGAGGCAGATGTCATCAAAATGTCAAGGCCCCCTCCCAGGCCAGAAAGGAGCCTGTGGACTGAGTCACTGCCCTGTTTTGTTGCAGCTGCTGGCTTCTGAAGGAAGACATTTCAAAGGGCTGTGCAGCCCGCAGAGGCCGGGCACCGGGGCACCTGGCCCACAGCAGTGGGTAGCAAAGAAAGCGACAGCAGTGGCCTGGCCTCCATCCTCCGAGTGCTCTGAGTGACTTCACAGGAAGCTGTGAGCTTAGGACAGTGCTATATCAGAACAGAGGCCCCCGGGTGTGACAGGAAATGACCCTCTCAAAAGATAATGAGGCATGGGAGCTGGCTGAGCAGCAGGCACAGTGAGATGTGGCCAGTGGCAAGGAACATGTGGAATATTTGGGATTTAGTAATTGGTCACCTTTAGAATGTTCTAGAAGGAACTTCTAGAAAGGTAGCTGGGTATCAACTGTAGACAAAGAAGCTGGCTGAGATGCAGCAGAAACGGGTGTTGCTTCCTTCTCAGGGAACTTGGCAAGGAGGTGGCGTGAGGACAAGGTCAGTTTGGTTTGGGACACACTGGGAGTGAATCAGGCAGAGGGCCCGCAGGATCTTCACACATGAATTCAAGGCCCAGAGCAGGTTCCTGCCCACCGCAGGGAAAGCTGGAGGAGGCTGGTCCTGGCTGTACCTCAGCTCTGCGGTGCCAGTCACTGGCCACCCTTTAAGACAACTAGAGACTTGGGTGCTTGGCTCTGGGGACCACTGGGAAACTTCAGTGTGCCACCCCTACCCCCAGCCTCATGCCTTTCATCTCAGTGTACAGCTGGGTAAAATGAGGCGTGGGGCTGAGGGATGATCAACTGCATCTACAGGTGAGGACGTGGGGTCTGGGAGGTTTAGGAGGGGGCAGTTCCTCAAGGTCTGCAGATAGAGGAATTGGATAGAGTCTGTCACACCTCACAACATTAGAGACAAATATCTGAGTTTCCAAGATACTAAAAAAATAAAAATAAAGAAAAATAAAGCTCTTCAGGGACCTGAAACAAAAAGCCAGAAATCAGAACGGCAAGCAGGTGTTAATCCCTTGGGTGCCGTGCAAGGTGGGGGGCCTGGGGGCCAGAGTGCAGGAAGGGGTGAGGTGGCCTTTGCTGATCTCGGGGACCAAGGATTTTACATCTCTGTAACAACAAGAGACAAGGCCTAGGACCTTGCCAGCAGCGACGCCAAATGAAAATGACCGAATCAAAGTGGACCCACGTCCTCCGTGAAAACGCAAACGTGGGGCAGAGAGAATCGCTGTCCTGCCAAGGCACTGTCAGAGATGTTGGCTGTCACTTTCCTGGCACTTTTGAAACATAAAAAAGAAATCTCTCGAGAAATGAGAGGTCTAGGCCTGCCCTAACACAAGTGTGAATTTGGGTTTCTCACGTGGCCTCGGGACTCCCGAAGCTTGAAATTAATATAAGAAAACAAGCCCAGGTGGCAACTCACTGGAGGCCGGCCGCAATGCCACTGCCACGTGGGAGTCTCCCAGATGCAGCCTTTGGGAAGGTGAGCTCATTGTAAAATGACAGAAGCAAGCTGCATCTGGCGGGAAAACAATCCATACACAATTCTGCACCCAACACACTTTTCACATGTGCACTGAAGATTTCAAACAATTATCATGTGTCCCAGAGCACAAACATAGAGCAAACCTCAGTAAATTTCAAGAAACTGACAGCAGGGTTCATGTGAATTAGGTAAAAAAAAAAAAAAAAAAAAAAAAAAGCAATAGCACACAGTAATTAATATCATACTGGCCTAAAGACAGCCAGGTAGCCCAAGGGAATGCAACAGGCCAGATGCCGCCCTCCTCTACCCATGGTCATGCGGTCTTCGCTAAGAATTGCAAAGGTATTCAACGGAGAGAGACACTCTTAACAAATTGTGCCAGGAAAACTGGATATCCTTATGCAAAAGAGCTAAGTGTGTCCTTTTTAAACACCCTGTAAGGTTGGTCATTGCTCAGGGTCCATGGGGATGACGCCAGGCCCCCTCACTATACTAAAACCCATGGATGTTCAAGTCCCCTGTGTAAAAAAGCATAGTATTCCCATGTAACCTGGGTACATGCTCCTAAAGACTTCAGATCACTTCTAGATTACTTACAATGTCTAATACTATGTAGGGCTATAGAATACTATTATCTACTGTGTCGTTTAGAGCATAATATAAAGGAGGTTGTTTGTATGTGTTCAGTACAAATGCTCTCCCTCCTTCCTTCCCTCCCTCCTTCCTTCCCTCCCTCCTTCCTTCTTTTCTTGATTAGTATTTTTGATCAGTGATTGGCTGAATCCATGGATATGGAACCCACAGGTATGAAGGGTAGGTACAACTATACAACACTGAACTCAAAATGGATCAAAAACCTGAACAGAAGGCCTAAGACTATAAAACTTAGAATAAAATACAGCTCAAAGGCTTCATGACATGGTGCACGCCTGTAATCCCAGAACTCGGGAGGCTGAGGCAGGAGGCTCATTGCAAATTTGAGACCGGCCTGGGCTACACGGTGAGCTAAAGGCAGCCTGAACTGCTAGTGAGACTCAAAAAGACCAAGAAAAAAGAGACTTCATGACATTAGATTTGGCAGTGATTTCTTAGGTATAACTGTACTTTCTCTAGTAAGTTGGTGCTTACTAGAGAAACACTTAATGCAACATATACAAATATATGTAAGAATTTACAAGGTTAGCTCACAGTGCCCGCTCCCAGAGTCCGAGGTGGAAGGGTGCAGAGGGTCTGTATGCACACTAGAAATCCGGAGGGTCCAGTCCAAGGTGTGGTGTCCCTGCAGGTGCAAATCAGGAGGCTGCAGGGTCTGGACTGGAAGCAGGAGATGGTGTCCAAGTTGAAGGCAAAGCCTGGAGCCTCCAAGGAGGCAGCAGCAGCCTTCCTTGTTCCACCTTGTTCCACCTTTCTGGTGACAGTCCTCCCTCGGGGGACTCTCCCACAGCCAGAACTATGCTAAGCCAGCTTTCTCGGGCATTTCTTGCTCAAGTTGATACAGTTAACTAACACAAACACCCAAGGCACAGGCAACACAAGCTAACCTAAAAGGGGCTGGAGATTTAGCTCAGCAGCATAAGTGCCTGCTTGGCAAAAGCGAGTTTGTGAGTTCGACCCTCAGTACAAACAAATAAACTAAATTGATCTGTGTTGTGATATTTTTAAAATTTTGTGTATCAAAAGCACTACCCACTGTAAATGGCAACACAGACTGGGAGAAGATGCTTCCAAATCATACACTGGATAAGAGATTAACATCCACAATACAAAGGAAGCCTACAACCCAAGGACACAAAAGTCAATGTAAAAATGGTCAAAGAACATTATGGTAGCCACCGTTGATCTCCTGTTGTCTTGCTTTAAGATCCTGTGTCACTTAACATTGTTTTCTTCTGACCTGCTTTGTTTTGTTTTGTTATGTTTTACCCTCTTTAAAAAAAGGTCAAAGAACTCAAAAGGCATGTTTCAAAAAAGAAAATGATACACAGGTGGTCAATAAACACTTGGGAAGATATTCACTGATCATTAGGGAAATGTAACTAAAATCCACAATGAGATAGTGCTTCAGATCTCCCCAAGTAAAAAGCCAGACCAAAATAAAACATGATCATAAATTAAATAGATCAATCACAAAAAGACAAAAACCGTCTCTGCTTACACGAGATACTTACAATCGCTAAAGTCAGACAACAGGGTGAGGGGGCCAGGGGCTGGGGGGCGGGTTGGAGTTGGGAGTTAAGTGTTCAATGGGGGCAGAGTTTGAATTCTACAAGGTGAAGGTGGTGGTGGTGCTGGTTGTACCTTAGCAAAGTGTTTAATATCACAGATCTGCTTCCAAAAAGACGGCAAATTTTATGTTGCATATTTAACCTTGATAAAAAAATGGGGGGGGGCCACATAACAAGACCATAAGAAAAAGATAGCTAAACAACAAAACTTCATATGTGACCATGAGCTCTCATTGTTGCTGTGCATGGGCTCAGGCTTCTGACATCTGTGCAGGACAGTGACTTCTGAGGATGCATGTGACGGTGCCTGATTGGAAAGAGACACACAGGAGGTGCTCAGCCAATCTGCGGGACTGGATGGGAACAGGACCCTCTGATCCTGCCACGGTATGTGGCCTTCATTAGAGCATCTTGGGACTGGAGTCTTTTCTACCATTTACAAAGGCTGAGCGCGCTCGGAACATGGCCATGATCAGCGCTTCCAGTGAAATGCCAGCCCGCAGCAGCCAGCCTTTGTGAGTAAGCTGGAGGCGGGTGGGCCGTGCAGAGGGAACAAGAACAAAGCCAGGTGGAGGGTTTCTGGGTCCTGTGAGCCCCTGCCGCCTGCCCTGCCCTGCCCTTCCTGCCTCTTGCTCTAAACCCCACCTCCAACAGCCAGCTCTTGGGATGGAGCTGGAGGCCCAAGAGGCCTCCCCTGAGGCTCAGAGACTCACAGCTGGGAGCAAGGAAATGGGAAGAGTTTTACAAAAGGTAAATGTGGACTCTGTCCCCCGAAGGGGTTCATATGCGTTTGCCACCTCCCCGGCTCCCTCGGGGTCCGTGGGCTGCAGGCCTGGACTCCCATGACAGTGCATCCAGATGACATGCTGCTCTGGTCACCTCCGAGTTCCCCTCCAGAGCTGGTCCACCTGCCTGCCCTTCAAACCCAGGCACCATAGAGACTCCTGCCTGGGCCACAGGCAGCCTGGTTGAGGCCACTTGGCCACATCTCTCCAGGCCTCAGTGCTGCTCAGCTGGAAGGAGGACAGGATGTCCCACCTCGAAGTTATTTGGAGACTTAGGGGGACTGCTGGGTTAGAAGAGACTCCGTCTAGATCTGTGCGCCCAGATTCCACTGCTCCTCTACTTCCCAGCTGCTGGCCCACCAGCTCTGCAGGTCCCCTTGCTGCGTAACAGGCCAAGGAGAGCAGAAAATCAGCAGCTGTGTCTGGGCTTGCTAGTTACCCGCTCCTACTTTAATGGGAAATAAGACACGCTGACTTCACAAGGACTGACTTGTTAAACAGCTACAAACTTCAAAGCACAGTTCAAAATAAACAAAGAAACCATAGCTCCCCCTCCCCACGGGCAGATGAGGAAACCCAGGCCCAGAGGGGGCGGGGGTAACTGCTCAGAGGAGGGAAATGGTGGAGCAGGAGTTTGACCCCACATGGCCAGGCTTACCCACTACGCCACACATTGCTCACAGTCACAGGAGTGGGACTGCCTGGCCTGCTGTGATCCTGGGCATGCAGGGAACCTGTTCTGTGCCTTGATTTCCCCTTCTCCAAAACAACTGCGTGCTCCATGAGCCAGGCTGCGAACTGCTTTCCAGGGTCACTGTCGCATGAAATCTCCCATGGTGCAGCTGGAGACAATGCAGACTGAGGTTGAGTCACTAGCTGCAGGGCACACATTTGAGATTGAAACCCAAAGGCCAAACTTTCAACCACTCTGCCTTAGCTCAGTGTGACCTCCATGAAATGCCACTCTCAGAACCGTCTCCCAGCTGCAGATGTCCCCCTGGCTGCCTGACTCACCCGGCCCGATGGGAGCCAGGACCCAGTGCTGTGTGAGTCACTCCTTTCCAGCCGGCCACCAGTGTTTGTGACTAACTGACCCCTGATGGCAATGTCGCTTTGATCTGTCCCTGCTGTTCCCATCCAGCCCAGACCCCGGAGGCTGAGGACAGTGGATATTACGTACCTGCTTCCAAGTGCAGAAGGGGAAAAAATGTTCTCTCAACCCTGACTAAGGCCAGAGGTGCAGCAGGAGGCTGGAGGCGGAGGTGTATTTGGACACAGTTGGTGGCATTGCTTCTGCCACCTCAAGGCAAGAGAGGGGCTGCAGGGCCTCAGACAGCACGGGACAGAAAGATGGGACAGAAAGCTGGTTATGGTGCCCTGCTTTTACAAGGCAGGGACCTGGCTGCTTTGGGATGAGCCTGCTACCCTGGCAGGTGACATTATCAGGATAGATTGATCCTGTTAGATGGACCCTCCCAAAACAGGCGTTGAAGGGAGGTCTCAAGCAGCCAGCCAGACAGAGGAGACTTTGCCCAGGTAGAATGTAGGTAGGGTTGCCTAGTGACAGGGTCTCTACAGACCCTGAGCAGTGCCCCTAATGAGAAGGAGCCAGGCACCTGAGAGCATCCATCCTCCCGACACCCCCTCATCTCCCTCTTTGGAGAAGCCAGACTCCACCCACAGGGGAAGAAGACGGGGTCAGCAGAACAGGGTGACAAGGTGACCCCTTGGGAGAGACTCAAGCACTGCTCCTCCAGCCATGAGCTGATCCCCCTAACGGCCCTCCTGACGCCCATCTGAGTGACCTGAAGGGAGCACCAGCTTCTCCAGTTCAGCATCATCATCAGCGACCTGGGGATGTGACGGCCATGCTCTTGTTGCAGCAGGGTTTGTGAGGCGGAAGTGCAGGGGCATTCCTCTCGGTCACGATCTCCTCCTCCCTGTATAATCCTGGGAAGTTCCCTTTGCCTCCCCACTTTGCACTTTCTATGCCTGGAAGCCACATCACGTGTGGGTACAATTTGCCAGTGGCTATGTTACTGCTGATGGCTGACAAACATCAGAGACTGTACCCTGGGGTACAGTCATGGAGCTCAGGGGTCAGCATCAGGGAGGGGCCCGGCCTGCAGGCCCTCCCAACGCCCTTGGACCCAAGCACCATCCCTTCTTCCAGCCTGAGAGTGTCCCCAATCTGCCCCCACCCACTTCTCCAGCTCACTTGGGTACTCCAAGCAGACCAGGGAACAGATGGCATCTGAGGAGTCACTGCCAGGCCACCAGGCAAAGTCCCAGGACCCTGACTTTGCTGTCAGCAGCTCAAGGTGTAACAGGGTAGGAAACCCTAAGAGCAGTGTCTGAGGAATCCTAGGGCCACGGGAACACTGAAGACAGCACCAACAGCCCCTGCATTCCATGGTGCCTGCGCGCTCCCTGGATCCCAGTGACCCATGTGTGGGAAGCGAGGTGGTGGCCTCAGGAAGTCCATGGACTCGCTGGGGAAACACAAGCTGTAGGTCAGTGCAGGAGAACCTGGCATGAGAACCCTGGGTGAGAGGAAACGGGGCTGCAGTGGCAGGTGGGGTTCCGGGAGGGTCCCTGGAGAGGGGGGATGCTTCTCAGCTTGTCTTGGATGCTTCCTCTTCAGGTGGGGTCAGACCAGCTCGCTGAGGGAGATAGTGAGCCCGGGAGATGTGAGGTCTGAACCTCTAGGTGTCATGCCAGCTGTGCAGCCCTGGCCTGGGTCTCCGGGCTGAAAATGAACCTTTCTGAGCTTCAGTTTTCTCATCTGTGAAATGGAAACAATTGCAACGGTGCCGAGGCTTGGCACTGGTGGGAAAGAATCCAGAGGAGGGAGAGACCAGCTCTGGGGCCATCAGCTGCCCAGGAGTGCCCCAAGCCCCAGCCTGGCTCCTGGCTCCTCCTGGCCCGTCTCTCCTAAGCCTGGACCCAGGTGCACCATCTCCAGCCAACTCCCGCAAGGAGGACATGAGTTTCCTCCTGTTCTCAGCCCTCCCGAGCGCGTGCAGGAGCAGATGTCCTGCTTCCTGCCCAAGCCCGAGAGCTGAGTTGGCTCCTTCTGCTGCTTGCAGGGAGGCAGAGACTCTGGATGGAAATCTCTGGGCTTCCCTGGGGAAGAAAACCCTCTGCCCTGGCTTCCATCCTCATCCCAGCATCCACCACGAACCCGCAAACATTTCTGGACCCTCGTGAGCCGTGCTCCCTTGTGGGAGGCCCCAGACTGGAGTGTGTTAACTGAATACATGTCTGTGCCTTAGTCTAAATGATTTTCTACCCTGCTCACAACGCATCCAGGAGGGGAACCAGGAAAGGGTAGTTTAATGGAGTCAGGCATGGAGCCTCTTGGAGAATGAAAGGCAAGGAAGAAAAGAAGGAAAATCACTGAGCACCTAATTTAGAGGAATGAACCAGGAAACGGGTAGGATGTCCTGGGCACTCACTAAGTGCCTGGCACTGGGTTATGACAGCTGCAGGGAACAGTGGCCCATGCTGGCATCCTGGGGCGTCTACACACAGCCTCTTACCTGGCCGTATTCAATTCCCAGCCCATCTCTCCGGGTGGGCACCTGTGCCTCCACCTGCTGATGAGGAGTCTGAGGCAGCCGCGGGCCACACACCAGACCTGCTGGAGTCTGAACCGGGAGCTTGGGGATGGAGATGCTCAGAGCAGACACAGGTGGCTCCCTGACCCCAGATGCTGCTTCTCCATCTTCTGGGGAAAAGAAACAAGAGACCCTGAAGGTCTGAGCATCCAAAAGTACCAGGCCTGCAACAGGGAGGAGGTGTCACTGCTGGTCCCTGTCCCCCAGGAGCAGCTGGTCTGCAGGGGAAGGCAGGAAGGAGGTACTACTGTAGGAACAGCCCGAGGGGCCAAAGGGACAGACACAAAGACACGAGTGGCCAGCATCTGTTCCACACCAGCATCAAGTCAGGCTTTGGGGGATCACAAGGGTGGCCCACGGTGATGGTCTGCCAAAGACAAAGAGGTTTCCTGGGATGCAGGACTCTGCCCCAAACTGGGAAAATTCACCCGGCTCCGGTAGGTCACCCTGTGTTCCTGTTCCCCCTGGCCAGCCAAGAGCTTGTAGCAGGAACTGCCATTTACTGCACAAAGAGCCAACCTCCCACCCTTCAGGGGCGACTGGGTTACATCTGCCCACCTCCACTTCCGCTCCACCCCTCTTTAAAAATTCATCTCAGCTCAACAGACGCTCATTGAGAAGCCGAGCTGCACCAAGGGTTTTAGTGGCTCTGGAGAGTGAAAGAACATTCTTCCTGGCTATCAGCAGGGACAGTGACTAAGGGGCAGCCAGAGGGAGGGAGAGGAGGAGACAGAGGGTGGATTCCTCCCCACCCTGCAGCCAGCGGCCAGGGCCACAGCTCACCCCCCTGCCCTCTGCTGAGAGGCCTTGCGCTGCTGCTCTCTGATGCCAAGGGCAGAGGAGGATCTTGACCATGCAGGGGACACTGTGGGTGGCTCCGTCCAGCTTCACAGTACACCCCAACTTCTGAGCTAAGCCCATGCTCTTTGGGGCTGCTCCCAGCCTGGATCAACTTGATCCAGGAGCTCGCTATCGTTGGCCAAGACTCAGCTGTACCTGCAATGAAGCTCCGAGGTACTCCCTGCCCGTTTCTGCCTCCTCCCATTTTTCTTTTGACTTTTTTCCCCCTTGGTGGAAGGGATGGTACCCAGGGCATTAGCACTGACCCGCACACATCCCAGCCTTTTTTACTGGGAGTGGGACAGGGTCTCCTTGAGTCACTAAGCTGCCCAGGCTGTGATCAAACTTGTGATCATCTGATTCAGCCTCCCAGAGTGCTGGGGCTACAGTCAATAAGCCACCATTCTGCTTGGTCTTCCTTCTTCTAGAACACACTGCCCTCATCATGTTGCCTCAGGGCCTTTGCACTATCTGTTCTTTCTACTTAAAACAATCCATTGCCCCGATTTCTGCACAGCTGGTTTCTCAGGTAATTTGGGTCCCAGCTCAAACACGGGCCCTTTCTGATGACCCTGTAAACCTCTCAACTCCCCTGTATTTATAGTGCCCTTTAACTTCCTTTCATATCACTTTAAAATTGTGCTTTGTGATCTTCATTACAGTCATAAATTGACTTTTATTTAATTATTCATTTCCTCTCCGCCTGCCTCCCCATTAGAATATAAACTCTGAGCTCATCTCATCCCCTCCTCAGTGCCTGGCACTCTGCCTGTCACAAAGATGGTCTAAGAACATTTTTAAATGAATGGCTATATTCGTTATTTACTCCAAAATTCCCTTGCCCGGAAAATGGAATGAAAGTGAACAAACAAAACCACACCAGGAGATGTGAGATGCAAGATGGAAAATGTGAGGGCTTTTGTGAAGGTCCCCTGATGAATCCTAAGTTAGATTCAACGGGGTCCACCCCAGAGCCCGGGAGAGAAGGGTGCAGAGACCTCTGCGTCCTCGGCTCCCTGTTCTGCGCCCCAGCAGCACCACCTGTGGGGAATGAGTCCCCAAAACTCTCCAGCATCCTACCTGGGGCTTCATGCTGCAGGCTGGAGTTAGGGAAGGGGGGAATGGCATTGCATGTGAAGAAAGACAGAGAGGTGACACTGCATGCTGCGGTCCTGAGCTCATTCGCACCTCGAATTTGGGGTTTTTGGGCTGGGGGTATAGCTCAGCTCAGCGGCACAGCACTGCCTGGCAAGCTGAGGTCATGAGTTGATCTCCGGTACAAACCAACCAACCATCTGGGGTTGCTGCAGGCGATGAGGGATCGGATGAGCCTAGAATGAGTGGCATTTAGATCAAGCCCAGGAAAGCTGACATAAGACTTGAAGTTTAGTTTAGGGCTGGGATTTAGCTCAGCGGCATAAGCGCCTGCCTTGCAAGTGCGTAGTTGTGAGTTCGATCCCCGGTACCAAAAAAAAAAAGACCCGAAGTTTATTGCGGTTTTCCACATCCTCCTCCGACCCCTCACTCAGCAAACTGAGGCAGCATCCTGACCCCTAAAACGCCCAAGAGTTGCCTACTTGCAAATTCACAAGGGAGCCTTGTGCTCACGGGTGCTGGCAGGAGGCTCAGGCCTGGGGACAGCTAAAGGGCACCGGACAGTGTGAACATCATGAGTTCCCACACAGGGAGGGGTAGTCAGGTGCCGCTTGTGGATTTGGCACACACAGCAGGTGGCATCACACAGACACAGCAGGGTGGCATTACAGCCCTGAAACCTCGGCTCAGGCTTTCCCTGCCTCACAGCTGCAAGCTGCCCTGCTGGGCTTGTGTCCCAGAGACACGGGTTCTATAGCTCCGATCAGAGAACAAGCCCGCCCTCTGGACCCGAGAATCACTCCTCCCTCTTGCAAAGCAGTTCAGCATACTCAGCAGACGTCTTGGACAAGATGGGGCCATGTGTCACTCATCCACAGGGGAGTAACATGCTCCTGTCACAGGTTTTAAAGTCAGGCCAGGGGATACACAGACAGATGGGCACAGGATTCGACTCCAGCCCCTGGACACCTTTATCCTCCGACTTTCACGGAGCAGCTCAGGGAAAGCCAAGACCATCTGATGCCCAAGTGACAGTGGCTCTTCTGTCCCTGGCACAACTCCCTCCCTCTCACAGCCTCTCCTAGTGACAATCTCCTGGGGATGCTCCCTGGGTGCTGCTGTCTCCACAGGACACAGGAGTTGTACCGAGAGCCCCAGAACTTCATCCAGGACATCAGGGCCTACACTTTTTTCCAAGACACTTTCTCCAAGCTGTGCTGCTGGGCTAGGTTTTGGGTCCCTGCTTCAGTGAGTCCTAAGTTGCATCCCCCTGCCCAAGGCTCACTGTACACAGAACTCACGCTTGCTGTGCTCCTATGTCATGGCTTAGAACTGGATGAAAACCCCTGACACCCACAGATGGTGGACAGCATCCCCATGGGCTTGAAGCACATGTCTAGGGACCACTGGACAGTGTCCCAGTGGCTCGACAGGGTCCTTCCCTGCCAGTTGTTGCCTCTTCAGAAATGTTCTAGTGTTGCCATGACTGCCACCAGCACTCTGCAAAGACCATTCAAGACCACCATAGTGGCCATGGTGGGCCACAGATTCAGACTGGAGCTTCCCTGAAGGTCAAGAATGCAGGCGTGCAAGAAGAGGCCTGGGTTAGCAACTCCCATGGGCACAGGCCACAGCAGGACACCCACGGCCCTCCCCAAGCCCTTCCAGCCCTGGGAATCCACGCTGGCCAGGGACAGCCCTGTGGGAAAGTGGAATGGAACGGCACTGTGCAGTAGGATTTTTCTTCCTAATGCTTTTAATTATTAAGTTAATTTTCAACAAAATACACAAAGGCAGTTTTGACACCCTCCCTTCCTGCCCACCCTTCTCCCCGCAATGGCCCTGCTCCCACCTGCTCCTCCTGCCCACCAGGGCTCCTCCTACCTGTCACCCTCATGCAGAGGACAAGGAGGTGGCAGGGGCCTCTCCCAGACCTCTGATGTCTGCGTGCCCTAAGGTAGGGTTTCTGCTCCTCCCTGGAGCCACAGAAAGGTTTTCTGTGATGATGAAAGTGGAGGGGGGTGAACCATTGCCCCTTGGGGAGGCAGGTGGCAGGCAGGTGGCCGGAGAATAAACCGAATTAAAGGTCAGATATCCCCTCTGCAATGCCCCATCCTCAACGGCTCCATCCAGGAGCCTGGGCCCAGCCAACGCTGCTCGCATGGCTACCAGGTGTGTGACCTTGGCAGCAACGCGACCTCAGCGGGCCTCAGTTTCCTCATTTGCATCGTGAACAACAATTTATTACCACGCACGCAGCACAGAGCCCCAAGCAGAGGGAAACGCTCCCCAAGGCAGCCGTTGGCACCCCCTTTGCCAGGAGGAAGGAGCCCGGAGCACAGCAGGGGAGGGTCCTGGCTGCACCCCCAGTCCGGCAGGGAAGGGGTGCGGGGCTGGGCCAGGGCCGGCCGGGTGGGGGAGCGAGTGGGGCGGGGCCGCCGCGCCCGCCGCCTTCTCCTCCTCCGCCGCGCGCCCGCCCGGGCTCAGAGCGGCGGCAGCAGCGGCCGCGGAGGCAGCTCCGGCTCGGCTCCCGCTCCGGCTCCCGCGCTCCCGGGCCCCGCGCCCCGACCCCTCCGCCGCGCCTGCCGGGGCCTCGCGCGCCCCGCCGCAGCCTCACGCTGAAGTTCCTGGCCGTGCTGCTGGCCGCGGGCATGCTGGCGTTCCTGGGTGCCGTCATCTGCATCATCGCCAGCGTGCCCCTGGCGGCCAGCCCGGCGCGGGCGCTGCCCGGCGGCGGCGGCGACAACGCCTCGGCCGCCTCGGGCGCCGGCGCGTCCCCGGGCCCGCAGCGCAGCCTGAGCGCGCTGCACGGCTTGGGCGGCTCGGCCGGGCCCTCCGCGCTGCCCGGGGCGCCGGCCTCCAGCGCGCACCCGCTGCCCCCCGGGCCGCTCTTCAGCCGCTTCCTGTGCACGCCGCTGGCGGCCGCCTGCCCGTCGGGGACCGAGCAGGGCGACGCGGCGGCGGCGGCGGCGGGCGAGCGCGAGGAGCTGCTGCTGCTGCAGAGCACGGCCGAGCAGCTGCGCCAGACGGCGCTGCAGCAGGAGGCGCGCATCCGCGCCGACCAGGACACCATCCGCGAGCTCACCGGCAAGCTGGGCCGCTGCGAGAGCGGCCTGCCGCGCGGCCTGCAGGACCCCGGGCCCCGCCGCGACACCATGGCCGACGGCGCCTGGGACTCGCCCGCGCTCGTGCTGGAGCTGGAGGACGCCGTGCGCGCCCTGCGGGACCGCATCGACCGCATCGAGGTGAGCCGCGCGCCCCGCGCCCGCGCCGTCGGGGAGCCGCCGGTGGGAGGGGCGCGGCCCCCGGGGACGTCGGGGGCCCCGCGGTCGCCTCGGGCCCGCGTGGCCGTGGCCGTGGCCCTGCCCCGGAGGGCGGGGATCGGGAGGGCACCGGCCTGGGACGCAGGCGAGCGTCGTCTGTCATCCTGACCGCAGCTCCCGGAGTGCGCCAGGAGGAAGGATTGGTGTTGAGCCCGTTTCCTCTCCAGGCTCCGCTCCCAGCCTCAGTCTCTGCAGTTGTGAAGTGGGTCCTCCTGATGGCAATCGATTGAAACACAGGAGTGTGGAAATGCTTGGCAGATATTAGGATCTAATTAAAGATCCCCCAAAACTGCGCCAGCCCACGCTAAGGTCCGCAGATAGGAGGCGCTGTCTGAGGAACCCAGGGTCTTCCTTTTGCATTGAGAACAGGCTGCCCCTCACCACCTCCCATCCTTGACTGAATGGGCTTAGACAGCTGACCCCTCCTCAGAAGCTCGGGTAGGGGGAGGGCCAGCCTCCGACCCCTGAAACCGGGCTCCTGGGATGGGGTGCGGTGGAGAACAGGGCCTCACCCGCTCCTTCTGCATTGCATAGGTGATCCCTGCTGAGACGTTTCTCCTTGAAGTCCCTGGGCCGCCTTACTCCTTGTAGAGAAGTGCCCAGAAGTGCAGGTTAGACCATCAGGCTGGATGCTACAAACAGCTGTGGACAGCCCTGCTGGGGGCTGATTTCTAGGCCACGAGAAAGAGCGTTAGATCTGAGGAAGAAGGGACAAAGTGCCAAGTCCTCCCTTGTTACCTGGTCCCAGACTGAATGTGGCTAGCAAGCCAGAGGGAGGAAACTCAGGGGACCCCCATCCTGAGTTAAAGTCCTGGGCAAGCAGAACAGACTGGTCCCTGTGGAAGGGTGGGGAATGAGGGTGGGGGTCCTAGAGCTAAGAACAGGAAAAAGCTCCAACTCCAAGGTTAAGGGAGGATCAGTTTTCTCACCTGTAAAGTGGGTATAAGAGCAACATGGACTTTACTGGAGCAGCAGAGGGCAAGGAGCCAGTTTCCGTAAAAGGCCAGAACAGTGCCTGGCACAGTCCTGATCAATCAATTTGAGCGGTTGCTATTTGCTCTACTTTCTAAAATACAACCAAAAATAAAAACGGGAATGCAGTCACTTTTCAGGAAACAGATTTTAGTAACGTAGAAATAATTTCACTTCTGGTCCACCTCTCTCTTCTGGCCTGCCGTGGCCCTGCCCCCCACACCCAGATGGCACAGGAGGCTCCTCCCATGTCTGGGGCTGGCAGGGCCACGCCGGCCCTGGACCCATTCCCTGGCATCTGCAGCACTTGGCAGGGTGGGCTCCCCTCCTGGGAGCCTGCTGGGGCTGGGGGGATCCTGGGATTTGGCAGCAGGTCAGGCTTCCAGACGGGTGGGGGGGCCCCGGCTTCCCCACATGCACCCTCTCCTGCTTTCCTGCGTTCTGCGTTCAGCAGACGTGGAGAAAAAAGGCAGAGGCTGCCTGGCCACTGTCCCCTTCCCAGCCTGGCCGTCCTGGGGGGCATTAGGCAGGGGTTTTGGTCTGGAGCCATCAGACTCTTGGTCTCTGCTGGATTCCTTTTGGCCACTTCTGATCTCTCCCACTGTTCTCATCCATGATCCTCTGAAGCCTCCGGACGCCCCTGCCCCGAGAGTGCTCTGGCTGAGGTCCCCAGATTGAAGAAGCAGCGAATGAAGGCTTTTCAGTCCCTCTCTTGCTGGGTCCCCTCTTTCCTCTGACCGTCCTCATTCTGTCCCACGGACCTCAGGCCACATATCCCTCTGCCCTTCTGCCTGCTCTCCCTTCTGGTCCTGTGAGGTTTGCCCGCCCCTGGGTGCCCCTCTCTTTTTCCCGGGGTGAACTCAGCCGCACCCTGAGCTTCCAGCACCCACTCCATGGTGAGCCTCGACCAGATCTGTTTCCAGACCCCCAGAGCCCACTGCCTGTGACCACCTGCCTCTGGCCGTCCCCGGCTCCCAACCACACTCTGTTCCACGCCTACTCAAAGCCAGGACCCTGCCAACATGCTTCTCGGGTGCTCTGCGGAGCTGTGCTGGGTCCTCCTGCCTCCTAGCTCAGGTCAGCTGGCCTCTGTGCTGGTCAGTCCCCTCCTCCTCTTTCTCTTCCTCTTCCAGGCAGCTCCAAGGGTCTAGGGTACAAAGTCCCCGGCCGCCCTTTGGGATCTGGCCGCCTGTCCTGCTTCTCAGTTCTCTGCCTCTGCCCAGATCTCCCCAGCGCGACCCTGCTCCTCCTGTAAGAGTCTGCACTGGGACCACCCCTCCCAGAGGTCTCCCCTGAACTCGCTGTGTCCCCTTCTCCCCCTGCCCGTGCTCCCATGATCCTCACCCAGCCGTGGCCACCACACAACTCTGATTCACCTTATCCCCTACCAGACCTGACTACAAAGGTGGGGAAGGTCAGGCTGGCCAGGGCCTCCCTATGGACTTGGGCGAAATTGGTTGTCTTGTTTATGTCTTGTTGTGATTGGAAAAAGTCGGAAGGTTTGAAGCTTCTCCCTTTTGCAGCCCCCTCCCCACCCATGTGCAGCCATCTCGCGAGCTGCTGGGTCACTACCATCTTGGTGACGTGGGGCCCTGTCCCTGTGATGTGAGCTCCTGCCTGATCTGCTCCGAGCAGAGGGCAGTGTTCTGCTTCCCTCCCGTCTGTTGCATTAGTTCTTTAGGCAGAATTCCCAGGGGTGCTATTCCTGGGTCAGAGGAGATTGACTTTTGATGATTGTGGCCAAGAACTGTCTTCCAAGAGAGCTGGACCATTTAAGTGGCAATGGGCCACGGATGCCCGACCCAGTGTCCCATTTTGGGCTAATTTGTTTATACAATAAAACTCCAAGATGGACTTAGCATTTTTTAAAACATGAACTCTGGCCTTCACCCCACCTGGCAAGCTGATTGGCTCCCCTCAACCTGGGGTGGGGGCCACGGCAGGGACATCCTGATGGGTCCCAGGGGAGCCAGGAATTTTGTGGGAACAGCGACTGTAGCTCAGAGTCACTGGGTGCCTAACGTGCACCAGACACTGCACAGATCTCATGTAACCCTCGTGCAGTCCCTTGGGGGAGGTGATATTCAGGGCACCTTTTTCAGAGAAACCAAAGTTTTGAGAGGTCAAAAAAGGGCCCCAGGTCCAGTGGTAGAATTTGTCCTTTCTGACTCCAAAGCCCTTGTTTTTCTTGTTAACTCTCGACTCCTCCGCAGGGGTGGGGCCTCACACACCTGCAAGCAGAGAGGGACAAGTGAGGGCAGTGCCGAGGCTGGGTGCTCCAAGGGGACAGCTGCGGGCTGATCCACAAAGGCTGGTCCTACTGCCTCCCGAGGTAACCCAGAGGCTGCCTGCGGGATCTTCGCTGCCACACTAACAGCAGGCCATGTTTCATAGGCACCCAGTGGCTACCTGTTAGCTAGGCAGTCTTCTGTCCTGGGAAATGGGCTCAGTGCTTGTTTGATTCTCCTTTTCTCAGCCTCAGTGTTTTTTGGCAATGGAGATTGACCCCAGGGCCTTTGCACTAAGCTACATCCCCAATCTGTTTTAGTTTTTTTTTTTTGTTTTGTTTTGTTTTTTTTGTTTTGTTTTGTTTTGTCTTTTTTTTTTTTTTTTTTTTTTTTTTTTTTTTTTTTTTTATCGGTACTGGGGATCGAACTCACAACTGCCTGCTTACAAGGCAGGTGCTTATGCCACTGAGCTAAATCCCCAGCCCCCCTGTTTTAGTTTTTATTTAGAGACAATCTCATTAAATCACTGAGTTGCCCAGGCTGGACTTGAACTTAAAAATCCTCCTTCCTTGGCCTCCCAGAGTGCCAGATTACTGCATGCAGTACCACATCCAGCTTGGCGTTAGTATTCTTATCTGTAAAGCAGCAGGATGGATGAGGTGAGGCCGCCCTGTGGATCCTTTGTCTCCTGCTCCCATCAGCAGTGGCCCCTTCATTCAGGCAAGGGACCCAGCCTTTTAAACACTACTGCCACCTACTTGCTGTTACCTCTGACAACCCCTTCTCATCTCTGACCCTCAGTTTTTCCATCTGTCAAATGGGAATTGTCGTCCTGTATTCTTTTCAACCCTTGCCCCTGGCAGGGGAAGCCCTCAAAGGGGAGACCCCCAGCTGGAAGGCACTGATTGGGCAGAAGGCTGAGCCCACCCTGAGGTCTGTTACATCCAAGATGTGCAAACATATGCATACCATACTTGCAAAGGACCCGAAGCCAGTGTGGACAGCTCCATGCTGATGTGTGCATGCACCCCAGATCAAGAGTACCAGGGATACAGCCTCCCCAGAAGGCTCAGTCATGCCTGTCTCCCCCCCACCTCCCCTGAGTCAGGGCCTTCCGCAAGGCTTCTCTGACCAGGGATCACCCTGCCCTGCCTCTGAGCTTCGGGTGCTCCTTCAAGTCTGGCTCCTGGAACAGTGGCCTGCCATTTGTCACTGGTGTTACTGTCCCATTGCACTGGACCTGTTCGCTCTGCCCCCTTCTGTGGTGGACACCCCAGCTGTGGCTGATGTCACACTGGCAGTGCCAGGGCCCCTCTGGCTGCCGTCAGCCCTCCCTTCCTCCGAATCTGTCCCCAGGATGGGCAGGCCTGGGTGGCGGAGGGCGTATATTTAGCATTAGTAGGTAGGTCCGGCTGTGCGTCTTCCCAAGTTAGCTGTGAGCGTTTGTACACCCACCTGCATGTAAACCTGGCCAGCCTGGGCTTGGGGATTTTATAGCATCGCTGGGCCCAGTGGGCGTGCGGTGGACCTGTAACTCTCCTTTGCACTGCTCCAATAATGCCTTCCCGTGTTGAAGTCTCTGCCAATGGGAACTGCAGTGAAGCCAGAGGTTAAGGGTCAGAGGTTAAGGGTCAGCCTCCTTATCAAGGGACGTACACAATGGGGTCTCCCCAGGACAGTCTTGGATGCATTGCTCCCATGGAACTCTGGGGCCAGAGACTGAGGCAACCAACCCGAAGTGGAAGCTTGTAGGTGTCCCCACAGCCCTTGTCTTACTCCAAAAGAAACGGACTCAGAGAGGCCAAGGGACTCACCCAAGGCTGAGATGCCCACCAGGATTTCTGGTCGAAGTGGGCTAGGGGTGAGTGTGCTGAGGGTTTTTAACTAGGGACCGGAGGGTGTACGGGTGGCAGATTCTCTGGCCTTCTGGAGAGGTGAGGGGATCCACCTCCAGGACCTCGAGGCCCATGAGGGTGCCCATGATGCTGCACCCCTGCTGGTCCCAGAGGGAGCCTCCTCTCCCCCCTGGCCCATTTGTCTTCTCACGAAAGCTCCAGATTGGCTGTGGAGACCAGGATGGTCCAGCTCTGCCCCTTGCGCCCTCTTCCCTGTCTGGATTGCTCCTAGGGAGGAAAGTGGGGCACAGCACAGGGCTTCCTGGCACCCCCTCTTCCCACCCTGGGCAGAGGCCTGCACAGCTGTGCTGTGGCAGGCACAAGACTCCCCGGCTCTGGGTGCTGGTGCCTGGCACTCAGCGTGAGGCAGCAGGTGCGCCCTCCTGTCAAGGGGCCTTACGAGTGATCCCAGGAGCACCCTGCCACTATCACTGTCCCCCTCTCTGGGTTCTGAGAGCTCAGATGCCTGCCCGAGTGGCTCAGCTGGTGATCGGCTCAAGCGCTGCAGCTCCCAGAAGTGCTCTGCTGGTCTCAGTAGTCACAGAGGCTAAGAATGCTCCCCACCTCGTACCAGACTTGGGTGCCAGACTTGACGTAGATTCTTTCGTGTTTTCATGACTTATATCTCAATCATTATTACCCACATCTTCCGAAGGAGGAAGCTGAGGGACAGGGTTTTAGCAGCTTGCAAAAGGCCAAGATATGATGAGTGAGCACGGACGTTGGTGATCGGGACATGGTGTCACCATACCACACGCTGGTGGAGGAATACTGAGCCTGGCCCTGGTTGCACCTGAGGGTTCTGCAGCCCTGCAGAGGAGCCCTCATGGCCTCTCCCCCTCTCCTGGATATCTGGAGGGGGAGCAGGCAGCAGGCAGAGGAGACCAGGGGGCGGGAAGAGTGTTCTGGTCAGAAGGAACAGCATGTGTGGAGGCCTGAGGGTCAGAGGAGCTCAGGGCCACTGGGGTGCTGGGAGTCCCGTAGATATGCTCCTGTAGTGAGACTAGAGGGCTGGGGGGTCTGTGTTGGAGCTGGGGGGCCACAGGGAGAGTAGTGTGGGGAGTGGAGAGATCTAGGTGTCAGCTTCTGGTGCTGTGTGGAGAAGCTCCCAAACCAGAGCAAGGACACAGCCTTGGGGGCGTCACCTGCACCCTGATGTCATCTAGCTGAGCAGGGTCACATACACAGCAGCCAGCTGCTCTGTGGGTGCCTTACTCCCCACTTAACCCCACAACGGGAAGATTTTGGGGTGGAGATGGGCAACAGCAGCCACTGCAAGAGGTGTTTAGTTGTTTCTGTCCTGAGCACGATGAAGGACATCATGCAGTGCTTGGAGACGGTGTTGTCCTTGTGGCCTGTTTTACCGATGGGGAAACTAAGGCACAGCACTTCCTTAGCTGGTGGAGCCTGGTGGGAGCTGAGCAGGACTCATGGGACGTGGAGTGACTGCACGGTTGTGACCTTGCTGCTGCCCCTGGGGCCAGGCCCTGGGCTGTCTGTCAGGCAGGGAGATGGGGCCTAACGTCCAGCCTGAAGCACACAGGGCACCCTCCCCCACTGCCCACCTGGCAGATCAGCAAACAGAGGCCCAGCCCACTGGGGAGGACTGAGAGGTGGGCACAGGCTGACATCCTCGGCTATGTGTCCTCAGGCAGGCGGCCCCTGGCTCTGAGGCTCGGTTCTCCGCTGTATAACAGGGCTCCTTCCTCCCCAGCCGGTGAGTGCTGCTGAGAAGCATCTGCCCAGCCTCCTGGGGAGCAGAGCATGGTGGTCCTGAGTGCAAAGGAGCCCAGCACATTAGCAGCTGAGCTGGAAGGAGAACCCAGTGGGAGTCCAAGCTCCCCCTTCCCCTCCCCAGCATCTTAGGCCAGGGGCCTGCTTGGCACCAGCCCAGGAACCCACGCGCCACAGCCTGCGCCCACAGCAGATGGCCAGGGGGTGGGGGAGTTTTGCTTCTGTGATTCACATGCGGGGGGCTGTGTAGATCTAGAGCCCACCTCCTCCCTGCCCTTCCTGACCACACGGCACGGGGAGGGTGCTGTGACGGGGGACAGCTTGTGCACCTCCGCCAGCTGGCGCATGTTCTATGTTCTCCTCAAAGGAAATAGTGTGTTGTAAATATCCTTCACATTCTGTCCTCCTGGCAGGCTCTTTCCCTGAGCTGGAGAAGAGATATGCTCCAGGGATACTGCGGACAGTTCAGAAAGACATCTGCCTCAGTTTCCCCAGTACTTGAATGAGAGACTGTGAAGTTTCACGTGAAGTGCCAAGGACAGGCCTGGCACTCAGGACATGGCCCTCCTGCCGAGCCTGGCACAGAGGAGTGTGGGCACGGAGACAAAACACTGCTTGGAGCCAGGGAGAGGGCAGTCCCAGGCTTCCTGCAAGTCCCTCGAGCTCCGATGCAGTTGGGAGCTGGCCCTGTCGGCCCACTGGCCCATGATGGTCAGGCAGAGGCTCGGGGTAGGGAGCTCCCCACAGCTCTTGTGGTCAGGTCTAACACTTTTCATGATGCTTCTTTTTCATCCTTCCACTTTTCCACTCATCCTTCCATCTGTCCTGGGATTGAACAAAGAGACGCTTTTGTGCCTCCATTGTCCAGGAGGGGAAACTGAGACTTTGGGGGTGGTCTGCACCAGAGCCAAGATTTTCAGGTGTGTCGAAGTGAGCTGAGCCTTCAGGATAGCAAGGATCAGTGTAGGGGGGGGGGGTTGGGTGTGCTAAGTGGCTTCTCCATGGATTCCCTGCCCCTCCTCCCTCGGCTCCGCATCTCGGGGGAGAGGACAGGCAGGCATCTGGAAGGGTGGGCAGCTGGGACCTCTCACACGGCATGTGGTGGGGGATAAAGGTGGCTTGAATCCTTCTCCTCACTTCTTCAAGGAGCCCCTTCCTGGAGCCAGGCTCAGTGACTCTATCCTGGTGACCCATTTCACGGGGCAGAGAGAGGAGGCTCTCCTCAGTCCCCACCACCAGCATTGCCATCCGATGGAGAAGGGGGTCGCCGGTACCAGAGCCCTGGCTGTTTGAGGAAACCTCACCTCTCCTGTGGGAGCTGTGAAGCTCAGCCACCACTGGAATCCTCTCTGCTGCCGACTCCTGTGACCATTTCCTGTGACTTTCACCCCAGTTTCCCTGCCCATGAAATGGGACACTGGGGACCTATATTACCAGTATGTCAAAAGACCCAGTGAGTGTCCAGCTGCAGCTGGGGTGGCAGCAGAGTGTCCCACTCAGGACTTCCCACCTCACCTGTGCTCCTGGAGCCATCTGTGGATGCTACTGAGCCAGGCGGGGAGCTGGGCCCTTCCCTGCATGCCGTCCCTCATCCCACCCAGGACCTGCAGGCTGGGAGTTCTGGGGCCCCACTTTATGGTTGAGGAACAGTGAAACCATATGCTCTTGGGGTGCAGTGGTACAGCTGGGTGTCACTCTCTGACTCTGTTGTTGGTCTCAACACTTTCCCTTCTCTCATGGCTAGAAAACAGGCTAAGAAAGAATAGGGGATGTGGTCTGTGCAACCCAGTAAAGGACCTTCAAGGCCAGAGCTGGCTCATCTGAGGCTAAGATGGTCTTCTGTACCTGTCCCAAGCTGCAGCCCCGCCCACACTGCTCCGGAAGTGCTGGGCTCTTGACTTCCTGCTCTGCCTTCGGCTTTATCATCAGCACCATGGACAGCGCCCGGCACACAGGACTTGCTCCAGGGAGAATGAACTGGGAGGATGGGGCAGGGCGCTGGGCCAGGCTGATCAGGAACTGCCCAGGCCCCTCGGGGAGAGTGGCTCATCCGTGGGGACTTCAGAGCAGGGAGAAAGCAGGATGGTGGATGCTTATAATTTGACTCCCAGACGCTTATTGAATTACTAATCTACTGATGCTTCCGTGACATACCCACCAGGGACGGGCTTTTCCAAAAGTCGAACCTGTGGTCTCATCTGCCTTCTTGTACTGGAAGGCTGGGCCCCTAGTTCCTGTCTCAGAACTCCTGACTGCTGGGTTCTTAAAACAGGACAAGGAGAGACACCATGACCTCAGCCTGGGTTGGGGTGTCAGAGTGCAACCTGGACCACGCTGCCCTAGACAGTACTTGCAATGAGCAAGCTCTGTTTACTGGCATTTGCCACTTAATCTGCCCCACAGCCCTTCCAGATAGGTGCGGTTGTCTCACAAGGAAGTAAGGTCAGAGAAATCAAGGGATTTTTCCTAGGGTCTTGCAGCAGATTGATGCCCACACTGGACCTGAGCTGGAGCTGTCTGACTCCAGAGTGTGGGTCTTTATCACATGTCTCCCTGGAAAGGCTCTGACACCTGAGACCCTGGCTTGTGCCTGTGAGTCTGTCTGGGATACCTACCGAGACCAACCACAGCCACAGAAGTGTCCCCTGAGGCCACAAACCCACAGCAACTCTTTTGCAGAGGCTGGAGATCATGGCAACAAAGCTGGCCCTGTCCTCCAGAATGTCCTGGGCTAGGTGGGGGAATGGGGTGGCAGGTGGCAGTGGAGGAGTGGAAAGGTTCCTGGTGGCTCTGGTGGGGGCTGCTGTCCATGCTGTTGGTGCTGGAAGGCCGCGTACTGATGGGCCGGTAAAAGGGGCGACCATCTTGCTTCTGCTGCTTCGTTTCCTGCAGCTCTCTCGCCAATGCCAGGCCTGGTTGCCTGCAGTTGTGTTTCTGTCCCCATTTTGCCTATGAGGACTCTGAGGCTAACCGCAGTTACCCGGCAGGGTGGTGGCACGTCAGTGCCCGGTGCCTGTCCTCGCTCATCCGTGACCCCACGCATCCTTCCTTCTCTGTGAGCAGCAGGAGCTCCCAGCTCGGGTGAACCTCTCCGCAGCCCCTGCTCCTGCGCCTGCGGTACCCACCGCCCTGCACTCCAAGATGGATGAGCTGGAGGGGCAGCTGCTGGCCAAGGTGCTGGCCCTGGAGAAGGAGCGTGCGGCCCTCAGTCACAGCAGCCACCAGCAGCGCCAGGAGATGGAGCAGGAGCTGGATGCCCTGCAGGGCCGTGTAGCCGAGCTGGAACATGGTGGGTCCCGCGGAGAGGGCAGCGCGGATCAGGCCTTGGTCGGGGGGGGGGGTCCTGAGGTGACAGGGCTGCTTGACAACATGTTGTGCTCTCCAGAGGCCAAAACTGGGCGGGAACACAAGAGAAAGACATAATATTATCATCCTCAAAGTGATCATTGGTGATCTCTGACACTACCGTGCCATAGAGTGAGCTGTGTGCTGGACACACCTGCTGACTTCTTCACTAGCTGTGCAGGGATTTTCACAGGCAAGAAACCGAAGTTCAGAGAGGCCATGTGATATCCCCAAAGTCACAGTGGCCAAGGACCTAGACCTCAAACCAGGTCTAGACTCCATAGTCACAAATTTAACCACCCACAAACACAACCTTCAACGAGTTGGGATTTTGTCATTTGTTTAACACCTAGACCTGGCACTGCCAGGGGGACAGAGAAGCATAATGGTCAGTGTGCAGATGTGGGCATCAGGAGCCCAGGCTCCAGGTTCCAGATCTGCAGATTGTTTTGTTCAAATCTCAGCTCTAGCTGTGTGACCTAGAGAGAATAACCTAATTTCTCTGTGTCAAATGTTCTCATAGGGCTGGGGATTTAGCTCAGCGGCATAAGCACCTGCCTTGCAAGCGCAAGGTTGTGAGTTTGATCCCTGGTACCGATAAAAAAAAAAAAGATGTGTAAAGAAGGGTAATAATAGTCGGAGGCTTGTTACAAGAGATGAAATAATGTATGTAAAAATGCCGAGGACAGGCTGGGAATGTAGCTTAAGGACACAAGCACCTGCCTGGTAAGACAAAGTCTTGAGTTCCATTCCTGATACCAAAAAAAACAAAAAAATTAAAATTAAACATAAAGTCAACAAAACATTTTTTAAAAATGCTTAAGATAATGCCCACCACATAAAAAGCAGTTCAGAAAGTCTAAATAGCAAGAACACTAAATAATAATATAGCTAACATTTGGTCAGCATTTCCTATGACCCAGACCCCTTATATTCTGGCCCACCCAATCTTCACACAACCCCGGGAGGGAGGAAATATTACCCCCACTTTAATGATAAAACTAAGGCTAGAGAGGATAAACTTAATTTTTTGAAAGTCCTATGGCCAGAAAATGGCACGGGAGGGATCTGAACTCGGGGCATGGCAAATTTAGAGCCCTTGGGCTCTAGCCAGTTCCCTGAGCACAGAGGCCGCACCAAAAGGGGGTGAAGGCACCTGACACACATCAGGTGGCCAGGGACTGTTAGCCCTCCTGGGCAGTGCCCCCTGACTGCACCATGTCCACCCCCAGGGTCCTCGGCCTACAAACCCCCGGACGCCTTCAAGGTCAGCATCCCCATCCGGAACAACTACATGTACGCGCGCGTGCGCAAGGCGCTGCCGGAGCTCTACGCCTTCACTGCCTGCATGTGGCTGCGGTCCAGGTCGGGCGGCACAGGCCAGGGCACCCCCTTCTCCTACTCGGTGCCCGGACAGGCCAACGAGATCGTGCTGCTGGAGGCAGGCCACGAGCCCATGGAGCTGCTCATCAACGACAAGGTGGGCGGGGCCGGTGGGTGGGGGTGGGGTGGGACCTTCTGCACCGCCAGGGTCCCCACGTGGCCCGGCGCTTTCGTCCTACCACTCGGGAACATGAAGTGTCTCCTGTGTGTGAGACACACAGGGGTCTGGGGATGCAGAGACAAGCCAGACTCGGGGCAGACTGAAGAGGGGCTTGTGCTCGGCAGAGGCAGGCAGTGTTGTCACCATTGTACAGCGGTGGTCAGTGAGATGCCTCAAGGTCTTCCCGATGGACTTCCCAAGGGCCCAGCTTCGGGGGCAGGGCTGCGGATGCACGAGCCAGTGCCCTGCTCATTCTCCTGGACAGAGACAAGGAAGGAAGGGAAGGGTGAGGGCTCCTGGGGAGGAGGGGGGAATGCTGGTGCGTGCCTCACCCCTGCACCCCAAAACCAGCCTCCCTACCCCTCCCACCTGTGGAGAGAATAGTACCAAGTCCAGAATGCCAGGTTCAAGTCCTGTGTGACACAGTCATTTACCCACTCTGTGCCTCAGTTTCTTCATCTGTGGAACAGGAGTGATAACAGCCCTTACCTCTTAGGGCTGGGTTAGAAATATGACCCTTAAATGCAGGTGGAGGATTCTGAGCAGAGCCTAGCGGTTAGATGCAAGCTGTGTTACTGTGTCAGGCACTGTGCTGAGGAGCCCTTGATCCTCTCTTACCCTCAGCCTTCCCAGCAGCGGTGAAGGGAGGCAGGTGCCTGCCTGCATTGGTCCCATTTTGCAGATGGAGAAGTGAGGCTCAGAGAGAGGCAGCACTCCCTGGACACACAGCAGGTGAAGGGTTGAGGGTGTGATTCCGGGTCTGGACCCCAGAAAACCTCTCACCCCCTCCTACTTCCTCACACCCTGGCCTCCCACCCCCTCAGCCCTCCTCTGACCAGGCTGGCTGGCAGGCCAAGGACAAAACTAGAGTCTGGTAACAGTTGGCAGCAACACAGCGATTGAGGGGGGAAGAAGGAAAGCGTCTGATTGCCCCCTTCTCCTGCTGAGTTCCTCCCCTGCCTGCCATGGTGCTTAGACCTTGCAGGCATGGTGGTCCTGTGAGACCCCTGCAGACAGCGCCTGTCACCCCATTAGGGAGCAGCCAGCAGGCACACAGGGCCAGGAGGCACCTTTCCTGGGGGTCCTGGGCAGTAAATGGGCCAGAGCAGTGAGTTTCTCCGGTGGCCCCATAAACTCTAAGGTTAAGGTAGCTGGTAGCAGAGCCTGTGCCCTGCTACAGCCCTGGCTGCTGTCCTTTGTCCTAGGCTTAAGGGACAGCTCTTCCAGAGAAGGATTTCAGCACCGTGGACAGAGCACGGGCGTAGGCAGCCTGCTGATCTTGCCGATCTAGCCACGCAGTGGCTGGATTCCCGTGTCCTTCTGGGTGGTTTTGTGTCATGTCCCCTTCCTCTCGGCCTTCACACCTCCTGGGCCTTCACGGTGGCCCTGTGCTGTTTCACCTGACAGTGTTGTCTCTGAAGTCCTCCCTCCTTGCAGCATAGTTCAACTCAAGGCCAGAATCAGACCCAGACCCTGTATCCAGAATAGGCCTTGAACCAAGGAGGTCTCAGAAAATGTTTGTTAAATCGTGATCTCAGAGAGCACATTCCACAAAGGAGCCCTCCGGAAACATCAGATGCACAGCCAGCAAGTTCCTTTCATCTCACAGGCAACTCCGATCCATTAGCATAAGCTTCCAGAGCACTGTGATGAGAACGGGACTGGGCTGAATCAGGCTCAGGGTTGATTGGCCATGTCTGCCTTGGGTGGAGGAATAGGCAGTGGCTGCATGTCTGCTTCCCCTCGTCTGAGCCCTGCACTTTACTGATAGGGAAATGAGGCCCAGAGAGGGAAGAACAGCCTCCCCCACGGTCACACAGGAGGTTGATGGTAGAATCAAGGTTAGAGACTAGTGTCCAGGCTCTGTCTGAGGCCTTGTGTCACTGCCAGTGCTTCCTGAGCCCCAGGTGGGCACTGAGACCTATGGATAGTGTATGGACACTGCTGCCAGCCTCAGGACCTTGCCTGGTTGGAGAACAGGGCAGTTTCAGTGCCCTAGGGAAGCTGCGCAGGCAGGTGGTGAGGGCAGAGGAGCGAGGGGTCAGGGAAGAACTGGCTGGGAAAAAGGAGGGTCAGGACTTGGGTTGGCCCCTGGATGGATGTCTTGCCACCCTCCCAATCCCCTGCTCCAGGCTTGAGCCTGTGCCCCTTTAACCTGGGGTTTGGGCACCTTTGTCCAGGTGGCCCAGCTGCCAATGAGCCTGAAGGACAACAGCTGGCACCATATCTGCATCGCCTGGACCACAAGGGATGGCCTGTGGTCTGCTTACCAGGACGGGGAGCTGCAGGGCTCCGGGGAGAATCTGGCAGCCTGGCACCCCATCAAGCCTCATGGCATCCTTATTCTGGGCCAGGAGCAGGTAAGGCTCAGACCAGGGTTGGCTGGAGGCTCAAATGTTATCCTGCCCTGGCAGGGAGCAGGGAGAGAGAGGGGAAGGGGTTGGAGAGAGAGACCCCGAGAACACAGTAGTGACCCTGAGTTTGACCCGCCATTCAACAGATGGACATACTGAAGGGCACTGTGAGCAGAGGGCTTAGAACCTTGGGGGTGGAGTCAGGATCTGGGGGCGTGGCTAGAACTTTGAGGGTGTGGCCAGAATTTTGGGCGGGGATTTGAACCTTGGGGGTGGAGCTAGAGCCGTGGCTGAACTGGAATCTGGGAGGTGGGGCAGAGCCGGGCAGGGGCAGACACCTGATGCTGAGGCTGTTCTTTTAGGCTTCCTCACTCCATGTCTCTCCTTTCTCTGCTGTTTTCTTGGCCCAGGATACCCTGGGAGGCCGATTTGATGCCACCCAGGCCTTTGTTGGTGACATTGCCCAGTTTAACCTGTGGGACCACGTGCTGACGCCTGCCCAGGTCCTGGGCATTGCCAACTGTACTGCGCCGCTGCTAGGCAACGTCCTCCCCTGGGAAGACAAGCTGGTGGAGACCTTCGGGGGTGCCACAAAGGCCGCCTTTGATGTCTGCAAGGGGAGGGCCAAGGCATGAGGGCCACCTCGTCCAGGGTCCTTCCCATGCCTGCTGCTTTGGGGACCTTAAAGGGGCTGTTTCCCCCTCAGTCTGTCCACTACTGTCCTTCCTTCCTGCCCACTCCAGACTATGCCTCTCCTTTTCCCTCTCCTGTAACCGCTTCTCCAGAATCCCCTGCCCTGTGATGGGAGTCCCCTAGGTCACCTGGGTGGAGACAAGCATCTCAAGTCCACAGGTGGAGCCTAGGCTGAGTGCTGGCTCTAGCCCTCCTGGTACTACACAGGAGTGGTCTCCTGCCCACTTGACTCTGCCCTGTCCATCACTCTGACTCCACTAATCACAGTGGCACCCCCACGGGGTTGTTGCGGGGTGGCCTCCCCGCCTTGTAGGCATGCTACAGGCCTGGCCCTGTCCTCTCCAGGGCTGCAGGAGGCTGGAGAAAGGGATGACAGAGACTTGGGAGATCCCACTCTTCCTCCTCCACCTTCATGCCAGCTGCCCATTGGGGAGCCAGCCCCCCGCCCTCAGCCCCTCCTTCATTGCTTTGTGTGCGGTGGTTTGAATGTTGGTTCCATGCCTGGTATAGCCCCTCTCAGTTTCCAGGACATTCCCTTCCCAACTCCAGCTTGGAGGGCTGAGGGACCAAGACCCCCCCACCCCAAAGCCAAAGGGCTGTAGTAATCCCTTTGTGCCCCCTGGAAGCTGTGTCCACTGCCATGGTCACCCCTCCTCTCCAGGCCCAGGTCAGGTCTGGGACCCCTACAGCATGAGCGAGGAGAAGCTTCAGACAGACACAGCAGCCCGGCAGCCTCCCAGAAGCAGAGCTACATTACCAAGCTGTGTGTGGCCTCCTCCTGTGCCTGCCCTCCCAGGGCCTGGCTGTCCTCCCTGTGTGGTCATTTCTGGAGCCAATGTAAGATGACCCATGGTGCTGGGCAGGCAAGAGCAGGCAAGCCTAGAGACCCAGGGGCTGGCAGGAGGGGTCCTGGGGCTGGGCAGCAAAGAGGGTCAGGCTGGGCATGGGTTAGGTTAGCAGCTGGCTCCAGGTCACAGATAAGGGCAAGGCCCTGGCCAAATATATGATCTAAAAACATCAGCTCTCTCTGGATCTCCTGTCCCACATGGTGTTCCACCCTGACTAGGATTTTCTCATATAGCTGGTTCTTATCCTTGAGTCTGTCGCTACCAGATCCCCTACAAGAATAGAAGAATATCAGAGTTGAGAAAAACCATCCGCTCTGACCCCTTGCTTTATGACAGATGGAGAAGAGCTCAGAGAGGGCAAGAGACTTACACAGAGTCATACAGCAAAAGGGCCAGAACCACAACCCAAGGCTTCAGTATTCTCCCCTCTGTTCCATCCTCTGGAACATCCTTTATGCAAAGCCTGGACACTTTGGTAACAAGAGGCTAGAGGAGGAGGGCGTGATCCCTGGTGGCAGAAGGGACAGCTGAGGGTGCAGGTGTCCCTCCCCTGCCCGTCCCTCCCAGGCATCTGAACAGTGACAAGCCACCTGCCTCAAGTGGGCTCCTGGGCCTCTTGTCCCCGCTTTCTGTCCCCTCCCTCTGCTCCCCACGGCCACTCAGCCTGAGATGTGATGCAGGCCGTGGGTCCCCGTGCTGTGGACGCCTGCCCAGCACGTGCTGCCTCCAGCCCCCAAATTCTTGCTTCCATTTCAACAGCGCAGGCGTACGGTCCAGCTCCCCCACCACCACCGGAAGCCAGAACCAAGGCGGCCTCAGCCAGGACCCGCTGAGATGGGGTTGCCCCGGTAACAGCCAATGACATCAGCTGGGTCAAGAGTCTCATCATCATGACACACACTATTGCTGGGGTGACGGCAGAATTTGGCTCTTAGATTTGGGGGACACTGAGCTTGACAAGCTCCTGCAGTTGTTTTGGAAGAAATAGCTTTCATGGAGGTCTCCAGAGGATGGGTCACCTCCAGAGGGTGGTGACAGGGCCTGCTTGGTCACTTGAGCCCACCCAGACTTGAATGTCACCACAAATCCTTTATGCTTTGTCACAGTGATGATGAGACATTTGACATCTGAGCCTCATTCCCGTGCCAAGTCACCTGGGTCATCCCTCAGGGAATGTAACCAATTGGGGGTGTCATCCTTGGGGGAGGGCCTGGCACCCCGTTTCCACAGTTCCCATCCCTCCCTAGGTGTGTGTTGGGTTTGAGGGACTTCTGCCGCTCCCGGGGAGACAGAAGGGAGAAGGGAAGAAAGACCCGGCTTGGCATTTGGCTGCATCCCTGAGCCGCCTGCCTCTCTAAGAGGACAGGGGCCCTGCTTGTCCGGTCCTTCTCAGGTGGCTGATGCTTTGCAGGAGTCCTGGTTTACTGCATGCAGCTATGCATCAGGGCTGTGCTGAGCCCCAACAAACAGGGGACGAAGCTGGTGCTCCCAGAGGACAGTGGACGGGTATGCGGGTGTCATCCAGAGCTGGTCCAGTCCCAGGGGACGAGTGTTCCCTTTCCCCTGCAGGGTGGGGTTTGGTGCATTGCTCCTGATGTGTTTCAGCAGCATTCAGAGTGGCAGAGGGAACTTAGGTGCAAGATAGGTGGGCCCCAGGGCCAGGGGCCCTTCAGAGAGCCCTTGGAGAGCCATAGGAGGAGTCCGCCTCTCCAGAAACATGTCCTGTGTCCCACCTGCCTGCACATGGACTCAGCCCCAGCTGCCTCTAAGGAGCCGCCATGTCCAGGAGAGCTGGAGGAGGCAGGACGTCTCGAGTCCCAGGCGGGGGACGGGGAGGGGGCAGGTGCTTCCCAGCTGTTCTCTGCCAGATTTCCCACCTTGTGGCATGCAGTGCTCCCACTCCAGAGCCCAAGGCAGTGACCCCCTGCAGTTGTGCATGGCCTAAGACCACAGGTTTAGGTGGGACATCTCCTTCTCTTAGAAGACCCAGGCTCCCTCGCTTTCCAGGCAGCTGAGGCCTGAAGCGGGCTCATGAGGTCGCCCCTCTGAAACGTGGCACCCCTAAACCCAGCATTCTGACCTTACACAGTGACCCTGCCCCCAAGAACCAGGTTCCTCCTCTGTCCCAGAGTGGGAGCCCTGTTCATCCCTGTATGCCAGCTGCCTACCGCCCATGCCCCACCTTCTTCCGGCCTCCTGACCGTGCTGGTGGGGCAGGGGCGCTCATGGCCGGGCTGAGCTGCCAGTATGCACATCACATCGTCGATACGGAAATCAGTGCCCTCCACCACGCTTCCTGGCCCCTCGTTCCTTTTTTGTACATAAAGTGACATGAGATGCAACGTGTGTACGTGTGTGTGTGAGTGCGCGTGGCCTATGTCATGGTTTTTGTTATCTTTTTGTTTTTGTAAATTTGAGTGTTCAAAATAAACACACAGTTTACTCAGAGGTTCTTTTTTTTAGTGGGGAGAGGGAGGTGCTGTACTAAGGGGACTGGATATGGCAGCACCTGTCTGCCCCAAAGCTTTACCTGTCCCACATAGGCCCCCCAACCTGCCCAGTGCTGCCAGGCCCCAGGCTCAGATGCACGCCGGTGGCAAGGAACACAAGTCCCACATGGAAAGTGGCCCAGTTCTGATAACTGGCCTCGTTCCGAACACCCCTTTCCTGCCTTGTGGCCCAGTTCTGGGATCTGGGTCCTTCCCTTGTTCCTAAGACCCAGTCTATCTGAGTCACTTGCCTGGCCCCCCCGCCACAGTGTTGTACCCCTTTAGATCCCACAGAGATGGGATGGGGGCAGGAAAGGACCCTGTATTTCAGCCCCTCCCCATGACCTGCCTGGACTCCCCTAGACTGGACTCACACACACCAGCCATGGACTCCGCTGCCCCACGCAGCGGTCTAACACCCTCCCCGTCTCTGCAGGGGGCTCCGTCCAGACCCTGGGCCTCCCTGCCCACTTAGAGACACTTTCCCAGTGTTATCAGTGCTCCTGGCTGGACCTTGTTCTCAGATGACCTCCGTGAAAAGTGAGAGGGCCAGGCAGGAAGGGGTCAGGGGACCATGTCAGCAGGACAGATTTCCCAGCCTCTTCCCAAGCTTCCCACAAGAGTGAAGTCAGCCCTGAGGCCCAGGAGGTAACAGAAAGCGGCCCCGTCAAACCGAAAAGCCACACTGGAAGTGTGCGAAGGGACCTGGAAAATCCTTGTACTCTGCGTATCCTACTCCAGAATGAGTCCAGATTTGTTTTGAAAAGAAAATGTTGTTAATGACTTCCCACTGAGACACACCTTGGATGCTGAGCGCGAGGCAGGCACAGCAGGTTTATCCTCTCCTGCACCCATGTACTTGCCAACAACTTCCCTCCCTCTGTCCCTCGGAGCTGGTGATGGCCAACCCTGGGGAAATCCTGCCTCCACCTGCTCCGCACCAGCACCTGATCACAGGCAAGAGAGCACTAGATTCTGACTCAGTGGCTTCCCATTTGAAATTCATGGCCTGGGAGCTCCAAGATGTGGCTCTGCCAGCTCTGAAATCTGCATGCAGTTTGCTTGTTTGAAGTCTTGTTCCCCAAATGCTACGTCATGTCCACTCCATCCTTCAACCTGCAGTCCTCACCCCCAGCCCTACCTACACAAGGGATACGCTCCTCGGCCTGGTTCTTTTCTTCTTCCTTTGTCCCTGCATCCTCCAGGACCTTCTCACTGAACAACATCTTAAGTCTTTTTTCTTCTTTAAAAAACAAAAACAGAAAAACACAAGAGTTTGCTAAGTTGCTCAAGCTGGGCTCACATCTATGATCCTCTGCCTCAGCCTCTTAGAGAGTTGGGGACTACAGGTGGGCACCACCATGTGGCTCTCCTCACCAAGTCTGCCCATGAACCTTCACTGCCTCACCTTTCTGGTTGCCTTCGGTCATCTTGATGAATACTCCCCACCCCTTCTGCTCGGACAATGCCTCCTGAGTTACCAGCTCCTCTCAGGCTTCTTTGCCATTCCTAGGGGCACACGGGTTGCCACCTGTGTGTCTCCTCCTCACAGCCCCTGCCATGAGACAGACAGTGCCCATCTCTCTCCCCCAGGTCTTTCCTCCTTTCTCTGCAAAACTTCTTAAGCAATCGCTGTGTCACAGGCTGCAGGGCCACCCTCAGGTCTGAGGATTCACTAGAAGGACTCAGAACTCAGAAGAGCTGGTAAACTCAGTTCTGGTTTGTTTCACCAGAAAGACACAGATGAAAATCCACCAAGGGAGAGGAGCACAGAGCAGAGCCTAGGAGAGACCAGGGCAAGTGGGTTCGGCCACCCACTTCTAGAGGCCTAGTACCCCTAGGCACTTCCTTGTGCCAGCACTGACAGGTGCCACAGACAGGGAATGTCACCAGGAGGCTCCCGCACTGGTGGCCAGGGCTTGCATTCATGTAGCCACAGGACTCTCACCTGACCTCGACTAGTCAGTGTTCAGTCCTTGTGCCAGAGTCAAATGGATACAGTGACCTGTGACAAGTAGAGACAGGCATTTGTCATCAATGGCTTTACCAGCACGAACCATCTGGTGTGGCCCAAGGAAAACAAGGACACTGTCATCCGGCACAAGGGACACCTCCTGGATGCAGGCCAAGGCCCTGTCCTCATGTTGGCCTGTGCAGGGCTTGAATGGCCCAAGCCTGTCCTGTTAGCCCCATACTGGCAGGCGGGGTGCTTAGTCTCTGTTGCTTCTCTCACTCCCACCTTGGCAGGTCCCCTCCACTCGCTCCACCCACCCCACCCATGTCACTCACATCCAGGCCAAGAACAACCTTTATGCTACAGAATCCAAGGGTCAGGCAGCGCCTATTGCTGGCCTCACCCCCAGAGCACCCGAGGCAACAGGCTTGGTGCAGGGCCTGACATCCTTCATCTCTAGTAAGTACCAGGGTGCTAGGACTGCTGGTCCCCTGCCGCCGTTGAGAACCATGGGTCTGTTTCCCCATCCCTGTCTTCAATTCCCTCTGGTCCCTCCTCATCCCCAGACCTCTAAATGCCGCACCGTCCCAGGCACAGCCTCGGGCTCCTAAGTCTTCCTCCACTTATTCCTCCACAGTCTCACCCAGGCCCATGACTTTAACTGTCATCTGACAACTTTCAAAACGAGGACTCTTGCGGGTGTCAGGGTACATGCCTGCAACCACTACTTTGGGAGGCCGAGGCAGGAAGAGTGTAAATTTGAGCCCAGCCTTGAAAACTTAACAAGACCCTGTTTCAAAATTTAAAAAAAAAAAAAAATAGTGCTTGCTTCAGCAGGCCAAAACTAAAATTGGAACAATACAGAGAAGATTAGTGTGGCCTCTGCACAAGGATGACACGCAGACTTGTGAGGCATTCCATAGTTTTCCTTGAGACCATGTTAAGTGAAATAAATCAGACACACAGGCTTAAATATTGCATGGTGTCTCTTCTAGAATAAACCATCTCCTAGTTTATTCCTAAACTGGGGATTTAGCTCAGCAGCATAAATGCCTGCCTGGCAAGCACAAGGTCGTGAGTTCAATCCCAGTACTTCCCAAAAAAAGTATAAATAAAGAGCAGACAGATAACAGGGTGCAGGGAGACAGTGCACTCTCAAATGGGGAGGGCTCCAAGAGATGCAAGGAAGGGAACCGAGGGGAAGGAAAGGGGAGGAAAGGTGTTTTGTACACTCACCAACTCTCCACAAAGAAAGTAAATGTTATACACTGCAAACACGGACTAATAAAAAATAAAAATGGAAAAGAAATTTAAAAGTTAAAACAAGAAGCGTCGGGGAAAACCCTCGGTTCAATTTCCAGCATTGCCAAAAAAGACTCCCCTCTCGGCCTTTCCCCCACCTCCACACTTGCACCCAGGTTACCTGATGGAGTCTCAAAGTCACATACCCAAAACTAAACTCCTGATGCCCCTCCACCCCGCCCCAGGCCTCCCTTTCCCAGTACCAGGGCCCCTGGGCTGGTGGACTCTCTCGTGCCCAATCCGCTCCAGCCATCACCACCTGCCCACTCCGCCCACCTGTCCACTCCTCCCTCATCTACAGAGACCTCCTCGTGTATTTCTCCATCACCCTTTGCAAGGCCTTAACACTCATTCCTCACACGACACCGAAGTGATCATACAGCTCCCAGAGCACGCTCTTCCCGGCACTTCGGAAGGAAATCCAGGCCTTCACCCTGGGAGCCCGGCCCGGCCACCGCTCCCGTCCCAGGCCTCCTTCCCTGTGCCAGGTGCAGAAACCCACACGGGTAGTTCCCTTGGCCCTGAAGGTTTCTGACCGGAGCCGCGGAAGACAGGAGGCCAAACTCGAGCAGGATCAGCTCTCAAACTTTATTACGTACAGCGAACCGGACCTAACAAGGTCCGCCACCCTCAACGTTGGTTCCTCTTCCGCCGTTGGGGGCAGGAACAACCTCTTATAAGGGGAAGCAGTATCCAATCACAGAGAAGCGCGCCTAACAAGCTGATAGGCTAGCGTCACGGGTAACTGGGCAGATATGACAATTTGGCGGGCTTGTTCAGGCCGGGAAGAACCCGGAAGCAGGAAATGGGCGCCATTCATAGGCGGCTTCCCACATCTCCCCCTTTTTTATTTATTAAAATAGGATGGTCTGTGGGTCCCTCCAAGGTGTCTATGACCTTGTTGCTGTTAGACACCTAGGAGTGGGCCTACCTTGTAGGCCGAGGCATGAGAGAATGTAGAGGTCTATACCCTGCTGTGCATCACCCTGTTTTGTGCATATCCTTGCGCCAGGACCATGCTCAAGGTGAGTGGTTCATTTTTTCGCAGGGCCAGGCTTTTGTGAACCGAACCTGGATGCATATAGACATTCATTCCTGCCTTCCCCCCAACCTTTGGGGCGGATGGCACTGCAGTACCCTTGGTCTCGCATCTCAATGCCAATAATTTGGCTCCAGGAGGGACCCCTGGCCTTACAGGCCATGTATATCTGAGTGGAGCCTGTCTTAGGTTGACCGGGAGGGCTTTTCCCGTCTTACCCGTCATTGGCTTGCCCACTCAGCTCTTATAGCTGATGTTCTGCAATGTGAAGGAGATATGCGGCGGCCTGCTGGCCTGATGGGCCACCTGCTGCCATTTGCATGGCTGCCATAGCTGTGATCTTAACCTGCTGCTGAGTTTGTATGAGGCGATCTAACAAGCATTTAATAACCACAAGCCCTACTAGGATAGCCATGGCAATTAGCATAATCAAGGACTGTTTGATTGATGGTGTAAACCCTGGGTGAGGTGGGCGAGGCCGCCGAAAAAGGTGCCAATGTGGGCGGGTGGTGCCAAGGACCCCAAAGATATTGTGGTGGTTCTGTGGAATCTGAGCATATCACAGGGGTGATTAATAGGAACCCACAGAATAGAAAAAGCTCCAAACCAGACATTTTAGTTTGTAGATGGTCTCGGGCGCTGAGCGTCGGTCCCAGAAGGGTCGAGTTGACTTGTGTCCGCGGGCTTATCCTCCTGTGCTTTATCAGGAACTGGTGGGGAGTTTACTGCTCGCGTCAATCTTTCCGGGACCCACAGCGGTTCGCAGCCTGGTTCCTGTGGGAAGACACAAACCGCACCTCGGGTCCAACTAACCACTGGATCCGGGCCCATCCATTGTCCTGTAAGGACATCTTTCCATCTCACCAGCCCTTTGTCGGCCGGGGACGGGTTATTGTGCTCCATGGCAGGGGAATGATTATTGTGATTAAGGTTTAAAAAATTTATGGTAAAGAGTGCCAATGATATTCTTCCTTTGGGCGTTAGGCCGTGGCCACCCAATTCACGGCACAGGCGTGTCCACTCTTCTAAGGACCTATTTTTGTTAGTTCTTAGGACATCACGGCACTCCTTAGTGCACTGTTCAAAAATCAATTGTTTTATGAGAGGGTGAGCCGCCTCAGCATCTGGAAAAATCCTGTTAGCGGCCTCAAGCATGCGGGCCACAAAGTCTGAAAATGGCTCTCCCTGCCCTTGTATAATTTTTGTAAGGTGACCCGTATGTTCTCCCTTTCCAGCCAGCCGTCTCCAGGCCTGGAGGCCACAGCGGCTAATTTGTTCATAAACCTGGCGAGGGTATTGAGTTTGATCTTCCTCAAAGGCTCCTCGCCCTAATAGCATATCCCTGTTCCATTTTTTCTGGTTATTTTCCCTGTTGGCTGCCGCCTGCTCTACACAGAATCCGGGGGAGAGGCAGGCGCGTGCCAGTTGGGTCCAATCTCCAGGAGTTAAAAGCAGACCTGCCAATGCCTCTAAAAGCGCCATGGTAAATGGCGCATTGGGCCCATAAGCTGAAACTGTGTCCTTGATAGCTTTAAGTTGTTTAATTTCTAAGGGCTCATAATATCCTCCTCCTCCCCTGCCTCCTACTTGTACCGGGAATGCATGGAGACCGGAACACTCAAAGGGAAGCCGCGACCATACCCTCTGGTGGAAGGAACGTCCTCCTCCCTCCCCAGATGGGGGCGCAGAAGGCAACCCAGGAAGTAGCTCTCCCTCTAACCAGGGCGGTGCCATAGGTTGTGGTGGCAGCCCAGGGAGCAACTCCTCTTCCGGCCACGGCGGTGCAGTGGGGCCTGGCGCCCTGAAGGGAGCGACCATGGGTCGCGAACTTGCCAAAGGGCGGAAGGGCTTAGTGGGGCCTGGCGCCCTGAAGGGGGTGATCGTGGGTGTTTGGTTCCCCTTTTTATCTTCCCGAGCCCTGAATTCCTCTTTAAGCTGTGCAGGAGGGTCCTGTTTAGCGAAGACAACCTCCTCTTCTGAACCTTCCGAATCAGAATCAGAATTAGAGCCCTGAGGGTCCTCCGGAGACCCACAATCGGCAGTGGCTCCGGGCTCCTCTGAGCATTCCGATCGAGCTCTATCAAAAGCCTGTCGGGCTGTATTAGCGAAGCGAAAGCAAAACAGATGCAAAGGGAAAAGAAAAGAAAAAAAAAAACCGGCGTCCACTCGTGTGGCGCTCAAAATCTGTTAGGTGCGTCCACCCAACCCAGGTGACCCAGTACTCACCTGTCCCGGGAACCGCTGTATCTCACGTAGCTGATCAGGGTGAAGAGAAGAGGCGCTCGTGGCCTTCCGTTGTTATTGGGCCAGGTCCTCCGTCGTACCGCAGGCGACAGCAATCGCACCTCCCGGCCGAAGAGGCACGTCGCTGAGTCTTTTATTCCCCGTACGGGGGCCACCAGATGACCGGAGCCGCGGAAGACAGGAGGCCAAACTCGAGCAGGATCAGCTCTCAAACTTTATTACGTACAGCGAACCGGACCTAACAAGGTCCGCCACCCTCAACGTTGGTTCCTCTTCCGCCGTTGGGGGCAGGAACAACCTCTTATAAGGGGAAGCAGTATCCAATCACAGAGAAGCGCGCCTAACAAGCTGATAGGCTAGCGTCACGGGTAACTGGGCAGATATGACAATTTGGCGGGCTTGTTCAGGCCGGGAAGAACCCGGAAGCAGGAAATGGGCGCCATTCATAGGCGGCTTCCCACAGGTTTCTTCCCCTTGTTTGCAGATTTGCTTGTTATTGTTCAGGTCTCTCTGTCAGGCAGCAATCCCAGAAGGTTTGCTGACCACCTGGCCTCAAGCCAAAGCCTCACCCTCTCGCTGCGGGATCTCCATTGTAGAAAGATGGGACATCTAGGTCTTTTCCTGGGAAACAGCTTTATCTGCTCCCGCACTGACTCAGTGGATTCATATCCAGAAGCTGAGCGCTGAGCGCACGTAGTTGCACGCTTTTATACAGCCGTTGTGTCTTTGTCTCCCTTCTGTGGGTGAACACTAGCACTCTGCAGACTGGCTGGGCATGATTTGTGTTGCGGAGTCACATCAGAGCCACACGTGTGGACTCAGAGGCTGACATTGCAACAGTGGGAAAAGTTCCATGGATGAGCGTCCCTACCACATTCTCTGCCCTCGGCCCCGTCCTCTGCCTGTACTCCAGCCCTTCCCACCCAGCCTGGGCCTGAACCCGCACCTCTCTACCATCTTCCCTCATCCTCACCCTACTGTGATCCTCCTGCCTCAGCTTCCTGAATGCTGGGGTCACAGGTGGTCACATACCGCCAGGCCTGGCACAAACTAGGCACATACTGATTTCCTTAATCCAATGAGGAAAGTGCTATGATCAAACGGAAGCCCAGAGAAGGGACTTTCAGGCTGGGGGCTGGCAACTCTGGGATTTTAATCTAGTCTGACTCCAGAACAAACAAGCTGTGTTACTCAGAGTCTTGTCACTATAATGCAATGCCTGATATAATTAGCTTAGAAAGAGAAGAGGTTAGCTAGAGTTGGTGGTGCACACCTACAATGCCAGCACCTTGGGAGGCTAAGGTAGGTGAATCACAAATTGGAGTGCCTGGGCAATATAGTG